TAGCTTTCTTTTTTTAAACGTTTTTACATTGCATGTGGATGTCAGTTCTCCCCTTCTACCTTGTTGGCCTCCTAGGGGTTGAAATTAGATCATCGGGCTTGGTGGCAGACACCTTTACTGAACTATTTTGCTGGCTTTATTTATTAATGTAGTTATGAGAAGTACTCAAATGAAATGTCTGGCAGTTTCTTTTGCACAGTGTCAGTCCAAACCACTGGTTCTCAACCTTCTTAATGCTTTACTATAGTTTCTCGTGCTGTGATGACCACCAATCATAAAATTATTTTTGTTGCTCCTTCATAAGTGTAGTTTTGCTGCTGTTATAAATTGTAACGTAAATATCTGATATGCAGGACAGTCTGATAGGAGACTCCTGTGAAAGGGTCAGACCCACAGGTTGAGACGCTCTAAACTATCACAGCTTTCTTTCCTGTTACAATCAAAGCAAGGAGAACTTGTGTTCTAAGGGAAGGTGTGATGCAAGCACCTTTGTAAAAAACGTTTTTAACTGCCCAACAAAAGTAGGTGTGAAGCTATCCTCACACATTCCAGAACATGGTGAGCTGAAATAGCAGAACCTACCCCCATCTCAAGTGCAAAAGTTCCTGTGTGGCAGACGGGTTTCCAAGGAGCCCAGACAGACACGAGTCACCAGCAGATGCCAAGGGGAGAGACTGTCTATCCTCATGACTGGAAAGCTGAAGCAGCAGACAGGTCACAGAGGCCAGAGAACTGCTTCCGGACAGCAGGGAATCCAGATCCTTGGTCATTCTCCATCTTAAAAAAAGAAGTGTTATTATTTACCTCCTTCTGGATGGGTGGATAGGTGGGCATAAGTCAGTCTGCGTGTGGAGGTCAGACAACTTCTGGGACTCGGTTCTCACCTTCCGCCTTGCTTTTGTTGTTGTTTTGTTTTTTGTTTGTTTTTGTTTGTTTGGTTTTTGAGGGCCCCTAGCTGCCCTGGATGCCTGACTTCTCTCAAGTGTGGCCCTTGAGCAGTTCCCTGCAAACTCTTTTCCTCTGCTACCCATATGGTAAGATAGGGCTGTGACACCCCTGTAATCCCAGAGCAGCCTAGTCTTCATGTAGTTCCAGTCCAGCCAGGGCTACATAGACCCAGTCTAAAAACAATAGCAACAGGAACCCTCATGGGGTAAAGGCACCTGACACTAGCCCCAAGAGCTAGCTTTGCTCTGTCGCAGAGCCCATGCCACAGTGGAAGAGAACCATCTGGACAGAGCTGTCCCTGACCTCCACGTGCCCCGCCCGACTCCTGATAGTACTCACAATAAACAATCAAAAATCAGTTTCTTCCTTGGCAGAAGCAACTTCCGGAAGGGCCCTGTGTCGCAGTTCACGTTACATACAGTCCATTGCTGTGGGGAAGCTGTAGCCCAGGAGCTGAGACAGCTGGTCATGGCGCATCCGATGTGGAGGAGCAGAGACCAGGAGATACTTGTGCGTGCTGCGCTCTGCCGGAGTTCTGCATTTTATTATGTGTGGGATCCTCTCTCTACCCAGAGGATGCTTCCAACTGCAATTAAGATGGATCCTCCCACTCGAGTTAACACAGTACCACACATACGCACACACCCAAAGGCCCATCTCCAGGGAACTCTGATTCTGTCAACTTCGCAATTAACACTAACCGTCACATGTGGCGGTGTTTTTGCAATTTGCAATGCCGCAGTTTGGTTTGATGTCCTTTCGTGCTGACTTTTTTCCTCTTCCTCTCGGACCATCCCTTACTAGTAAGTTTCCAGGTCCCAGCCCTGCATTCTCTTCTCCGTGTGACTCTGTGTCGGGTTATTACACCTCTGCGCCTGGCCCCAGTGCACGTCTCCGCTTTGCCCTTCCGCAAAGATCGCACATCTAAGACCGCCTGCCCTGCTCCCTGCCCTCCTCCCTGCCCTGCTCCCTGCCCTCCTCCCTGCCCTGCTCCCTGCCCTGCTCCCTGCCCTCCTCCCTGCCCTCCTCCCTGCCCTGCTCCCTGCCCTCCTCCCTGCCCTGCTCCCTGCCAAGCGCTGTGCTCCTGCCCTCCTCCCTACCCTCCTCCCTGCCCAGCGCTTTGGAAAGGTTCCTGCCCTGTTTTGTTGTTGATCTTTAATTTTGAACGTACTGCACAGAACGTTGCTAACACTGTCTTCAACATTATAAAACCCTTTATTTCCCTTTCTCAAATCGCCGTGGTAGCAGATGATTTAGAAAGCCACCGCAGTGTTGGGGCCCTAAGTTGGTTTTCCTCTGAGCCGAGCTAACCATCTTTGGGCTACCTACATTTTTTTTTTTTTTTTTTTTTTATGACAGTATAGTTCTCTGGACTTTTAATTTTCAAGTTAAAAATTAAATCTTAAAATTCTTTTGCGTTGAATAGGAAAGAAAGTTGCAGGTGCTGGCTAGTTAGGAAGAACAAATCTATGGTTATGCGTAGTACCCAATGGTAAAAGGGTTACCCACTGTGCAGAAACGGAAAGCTAATATGTAAGCCCTCTTGAGGGGCTTCCCTGCTGTAACTGGAAACTTGCAGTTAACCCTGATGCTTAGGTTCACTGCAATCTCATCAGCACTTGGCGCTTTGTGCTTAAAATAACTGCCACATGGTGCAAAGGGTAATTTTCTGACCAAAAAACAACAACAACAACAAAATAAATAAAATTAAACTAAAGGCCCCACAGCTCCATAAATTGAGATTTGCCTCTTATATGAGGTCTTGTAGCTGAGTGTCAGGGTCCCGAAAGATTAGAAAACAGTAAAAGGTTTCTGAATTGCAGCAACGAAAAATCAATTCACAGTCAAACACTTACTTGCAGATATGTCCAGGGCACGGGAAACAGACTTCATGTTTTCCCGTTATTATTCAACATGTAAATCTCAAATTACTATATAAATGGATTATATTGCGTTAGAATGTTCAATCTCAAAAATTGGTAATCGAGTTTCATTTAAAGGGGGGGGGGCAGTGGTGACATACACCTTTAATTCCAGCACTTGGGAGGCAGAGGCAGGAAGATCTGTGAGTTCGTGTCCAGCCTGGTCTATAAAGTGAGTTCCAGGACAGCCAGAGCCAGAGGATCCCTGTCTCAGCAGCAACAGCAGAAAAGAAAAAAGCACATAGGTAAATAGAACCGGTTGTGAGCCAAGGAGATGGCTCAGCAGAGAAAGCACTTGCGGTGCAGCCTCACGGCTTGGCTCAGATCCTTCGAACCAATGTGAAAGTGGTGCTGTGTGTCCGTGTGTCCGTGTGTCTGGCACAAGGTGTGAGGCCAGCGCAAGAGAGTCCCCTGAAGCCTTGAGGCGGGTAGCCTGGAACGCTCAGTGCAGCAGCGAGCAGGTAGACGATGGGGACCAACACCCAAGGCCGTCCTCTGACCGCCACACTGGCGTGTACATACAAATAAATGAACACATAACTATTTGGAGGTTGGGGAGGTGCTCTGTGCTTCAGCGTTTGCTGATTTTTCAGATGACCCCGTTCCAGTTCCCAGGACCCATGTCATCTAGCTCACAACCCTCTGTGACTCCAGCTTCAGGAAATCCAGTACCTTCTGGCTTCATCGGGTGCCTGCACATACGTGGCATGTGTACGTCTAGACACATAAATAAAAATAATAGTATTTTTAATTACTAATTTTTTATTGTGAAATGAATTTTGACTTGGAATTAGGAAAGAATTTCCAACAAATTTTGTACCGGTCCTAAGCATGTATCTGCACGCAGAACTGTAGTCTCTGCACTGACAGTTATCAAAATCAGAATATTGATCAAGTCTGAAAAAGGTTGAAGGTGCTCCCAAAGGTTCGCCAAACCTGGGGACCTGGTGTCATCTGTGGCGTTCACAATTGAGAACCGTGTGATCGGGTTGTGAAAAGATTATGTTTCAGTTATGCTTACCATTTTGTGTCGGGCATCATTCATAGCTGTCCTCAACCACATGTTGCCCACATGTGTCTTATAGTATTATATCCTCAGCCAAGAACTGTAGAAAAATAAGTAAGCATTTCTCATGATGCAAATTAGTGTTGGTCTTTAATAAATGGGGAAATTGTATAACGGTTGCTTTAAAATAAATGTATGATTTGTTGCTAGGAAATGGTTCGGTGTTTATTTTATATGCCCGAATACCTGGGGTTGTGTAAAAACCCAGTGAAAGGAGTTGTAAGGGAGGCTAGGAGAGTGGAGGGCAGGCATAAGCCAAACACAAATACACGCCTCTGTGACAGTGCCCTTGGGTAACACAGAGCCATGCACAGTGAATACATACAATGAAATTTTTAAAAGAGAGGGGCAGGGGGTATAGCTCAGCTGGTAGAGGGCTTGCCTGAACATACAGGAGCCAGGATTCAGTCCCTAGCTGCACATAAATGGAACATGGAAATACGCATCTAACCTGAGCACCCAGGAAGTGGAGGCAGAAGGACCCAAAGTTCAGAGTCATCTCAGGTTCAAGGCAGCTTGGATTGGAAATATTGGGATTAATGAATGTTGCAAGTGGGAGACATTTAAGAAGTCTAAGATTCTTTCGGGCTGAAGACAGAACCCCACTAACATAATATTCATGTTAGTGACCGCCACAACACATACTGTCTGAGCAGTGTGATGAACTGTGTACTCCGCGCGTGTATAATTTCAAAAGCTTTGAGGATAAAGATGAAATGCCTTTGTAAAGGTTTCTTAGAGTAAGCTGTGTAAAGTAGAAGTAACCTGTTACTAGGAGACACTGCTGACGGCAGTGTTCTCTCTCCACTGGTGATTTTCACACTTGGTTCTGGTCAGTTTCCATTTTTTAATGGCATTTTACTTATCTGTACATGCGCACATGAGTCCTGAGGGTCAAAGGCGGCAGCGTACGCTTTTACTCCCTGGACATCTCTCCAGCCCTCTCGTCAGCTTGGTCACCTAATGGTGGGCTAGCGTTTCTGCTTTCCTCAAGGGTTGTCTTTTGGCCATTCTTTATCATAGAGGAAATGAAGCCCCTTCTGATTTTCTCTCGCTCTTGTCAGGCACAGCTGGTCGACCTACGATCTGAGCTGACAGAGACTCAAGCGGAGAAAGTTGTGCTACAGAAAGAAGTACATGACCAGCTTTTACAGCTGCACTCCACGCAGCTCCAGCTGCACGCCAAAACTGGCCAAAGTGTTGACTCCGGCACCATCAAGGCAAAACTGGTAAGTGAAGCACGATGTGCACTGAGGGGGCAAAGGTGATTTTTTTTTTTTTAACAGTTACAGTTATAAAATGCTGTGAGAATTCAGGCAATAGGAAGTTTGTCATCACATTCACCAGTAGCATCTGTGATAATATCAATAGCTACCTGATGGAATTGAAATTGCTCCATTTTAAACTATTTGTGTAAATACATTTAAGGGGTATTTATGATTAACCTAAACAAGTTTTAGTTCTGTCTGTCAGGGTTAAATTCAGCTGCTATAGCAAAAGTTCCGAGTAATGTTGAGATTGTTCTTGAATAGTTTTGTTGGTTTTTTTTTCCTCAGCTAACCCTGAGGCAGGTACCCCAGAACTGATGTGGCCAGTCCATATTCTAGGGGTTGGGGTTCTTGTTCTGTGGTAGTCTACCATTGTTAGCAGAAAAGTACCAGCCTTGGCATTTTCTCGAGTCTGTGTCTAGGCAGGGACAAGAAAGAGCTTAAAGAGGGGCAGAAAAACTCTTCTTAACTATGTTAGCCTTCATAAAGAACACTCATTAAATTTCCTCAGGAATTTTGGCCAGTGCCTTTGGCTTAGCCCTAGCTGTATGTTAGTCTGTGTATCTTGGTAAAGTCAGAGCGCTGATAATACAGAGAAGGGAACCAACAGGATTCTTAGCTCTCAGTAGAGTGTAAGCATTTCTTCTGCTACTGAACATTGTGTCGCGTCTATATATTGTTTTGTTGTGAGTTCACTCTAATTAGCCATAATGCCCTTACTCAAAACAGGCTATTTAAATAGAAAACAAACTAGTAAGATTTGTCTCAGTTTAACCTATGTGTAGAGTGCATTCCATGTGCCAGACATTTTTAAATATACAAAGACAGGAGTAAGAAAGGTAAAGCTTGAGAGAGACAGACTGAATCAGTGCTGTTGGTGTCCTGAATATAGTACATGTTTAGATTTTACTTAATTAGGCTTGACTGGTTTCAAGCAGTCTACTTCAGCATTTATATTCTCCTAAAGTCCTCATAAACTCAAGGGCATGGCTCTGTCCAATAGTGTTTCATTAACCACCTTAGAAGTCAGATCTTAAGTTCTTAGTTGAGCTATGATATTAACGTGGAGAACCATTCGTTGGAAGAGTTCTTAAGGGTTTTCTTTTTCTTTCTGCTTTGCTTTGTTGGTTTTTTTTTTTTTTTTTTTTTTTTTTTTTTTTTTTTTTTGAGACAGGGTTTCTCTGTGTAGCCCTGGCTGTTCTGGACTTCACTTTGTGGACCAGGCTGGCCTTGAACTCACAGAGGCAATCCTGACTCTGCCTCCTGAGGGCTGGGACTAAAAGTGTGTGCCATCACTGCCCAGTTTGAGTTTCTAAACTTTTAGCAGGTGCTGTAGACAAACAAATAGTGGGCCAGTGGTATTAACTAATTTTAATTTTAAAAACTTTAGGCTATTATAACTGTTGTTTATAGATTTGCAAATACATTTGTGCTAATGAGCTTTACCCAGCTGATACTCAACATATGGAAGTTTCCCTTGTAATGATGATGCCTCTAGATAAATTCATTTGTTCAATGGTTTTCTAATTATAACACTTTTCTCTTATATCTGAAGTCTGTCCCCTCTGTGGAGGAGCTGGTAAGTCTGTTGCTTCTCTTGCTTTATTTATTCTGCTGTTTGTGTATTACCTGTTGTCACACTTTGTATTTGAAAACAATGTTAATGCCAGTTTTTCTGAGTTCAGATACCGGACAAGTTCAGAGGGTGCCCTTTGTGTTTTTCTCACTGCATGTAGCTAAAGACTCACCTTTCCTTTGTGATTACAGCCATTATTAGCAGAGCCCCTCAAGTTTTGAGAACTTTTGAGTCTTGTAACTTGCTCACACTTCTACTGCGGCAAAAATACCTGCATGAGGGTATTGAAGGTGTATTAAGCAGGCCTAGTTTACTACCATCAAGTTCCTGTCTCAACTCGTTCCCATTAAGAGAGAGTGCATGCTGATTCCGCCATCCACTGCATGTGTTAGGACATTTTTGCAGGTTTGGAAATGATTGTGTAGCCTTTAAAGCGCTGCCTTTTAAGTTTTTTTTTTTTTTTTTATCAGAAATGATTTTCTACAGTAATAGTATATAAATTCTTTATGACTTTACCACTTATGAAAATTCACTTTTTATAAGTCTAAAACTTGAAACAAACTTCATGTTTATTACCTAATACAAAAAGGTTAACCAGGAAACAAATTTACAAATTGTCTTTAAATCTTAAAGTAATTCTCTTCAGTTTCTTTAATCGTGTTCTTGTTTATATATTTTTCTAAATGACAGACTGTCCTTGAATTCACAGAGGTCTGACTGCCTCTGCCCTACAAGCACTAGGGTTAAAGGTGTGTGCATCCCCATGACTGGCTGGCTTGCTTGCCTGTCTTAATTTCAAGTCTCAGAGACTGTCACAGAAAGTGGTAGCCTCATAAGCATCAGAAATTCATAAGTGCACTGTAACTGGCTCATTAGAGTAATTGAAAGGAAATAATCCTGGAAGTAGTGTTTATATAATCTATACACCAAAAGACTCTTGGTCCTCAAGCTGGGAATGAAGCTCGGTGGGTATGGCTAGCATGGGTAGAGCCCCGGGGTCAGTTCCCAGCACCACATAAAATCAGGCAAGGTGGCACAGCCAGCCTGGGCTATGTGATGGGACAGAGGAAAAGAAAGGTGGGGGACAGGAGGGAGGCAGATTAGTAATTCCAAAGAGAGTCTGCATTACTAGCTTCCCAAACCCCTTCTAATACTGTCTATAATTGTGGTGGACATATGTGTATGCATGTTTGCAAAAGCTAAAAAACAAAACAAAACAAAAAACCTGCTTATTTTCCTTCTGTTTGTCAGTTATATAATACCTATTCTTATCAATGAGACAGGGTTCCCCAGCTGGGGTCAGACCCATGCTAGGCAAGCATTCCACCAATAAGCCACACTCCCAGCCTTATATATACCAGACATTTGTACTCAAAGAAAATGCACATGTATGTACACATATAATGCACTTAAAATACATGTATATTAAGATTTTGTCACACCTTGTATTTGAACATCATTTTTGATGTTGGTCAAAATAGAGCAAAGCATCAACTAAATTAGTACCAAAATATTTCAATAAATTGGCCCCCTTCTTTATTAAGACAAACCTCACTATATAGTACTGACTGTCCTGGAACGTGCTGTTTAGCCCAAGCTGGCTTCAGACTTGAGCAGTTTCTCATGCCTCTCTGCCTCCAGAGTGCTGGGATAACAGGAGCCATCATTCATGCTCAACTGTTTGTTTGCTTTAAGACAGGATCCCTGGTAGCCTGGGCTAGCTCCAAACTTGCTATATAACTGAGGCTGGCTTTGAACTCCTGATTGTCCTGTCTCAGCCTCCCAGTGACTGGGTAAATATCTATTGTGTACCTTCTCAATACCTAGAATAAAAGGAAAAATAACTACTTAGTTGTTGCCTATAACATAGAATAATACGTTTGCCAGTTCCTCAACAGAAACAGTTTTTCCTGTGAGAAGCAAAGTATTCATAAAGGGGACATAATGGTGAGTTGAGTAATGTTGGCTGTATCTCATGAACAGGCTCTGTGGACTTCTGTAAGTCGGCACAAGCAGCTCTGATCAGTATAATGCCAGTGTGGAGTGTTTGGGCACTTTTGACTCAGAACTAATACCTCTGGCGTCTCTATTCAACTGCCAGGAGAGGTGTGATTGGCCACACAATTAGTGAGCATCTGATTTGGAATTTGCCTTTCTTTGGGCAGGATTTGTACCTCCCATTTTGCATTCTGCTTTGACCTGAAGCCTCCCATTTTATACTTGGATCCTGATCCCATGGTCTGTGAGTGTAAACACACTGTATAAACTCAGGGAAAAGTGAACATTAATTCTTGTGTGTGAACTTAGAGTAAAAATTTAGCCAAGCGATGGTTGGGACCTTTAATCCCAGCACTCAGGAGGCAGAGGCAGGCAGATCTCTCCATTTGAGGCCAGCCTGGTCTACAGAGTGAGTTCCAGGGCAGCTAGGGCTACACAGAGAAACTCTGTCTCAAACAAAACAGAAACTTTATGGTTATTATTTGGGATTATGTCCTCTAATACCTGTTGATTCACGTTGAAGGCTGAAGATGGCTTCTTTTATGAGAGCTGAAATGGATGACTATTTTACTTCATAGGAGGCAAAGGAAAGAAGTTGTTTTCCCTAGAAAAATCACTCCGTGATCTGCTGAAAGTTACAAATACATGAGCTAGATCCAGAGATTAAGACTACTCCACACATAGCCATTCTTCCTACATATTATTTCGGTGTGTGCTCTAACATAATGACTACAGGCTCTCTCCATGCATGGTTATAGGTGGTCTCTGAAAACTTAGAGTGGAACAGTGAGATGGTCCAGTGGGTAAAAGCTAGCCGGAACTATGTGTAGCCAAGGGTGACTGGGAACTCAGGACCCTTCCACTGCAACCCCCGAGTCTTGCAGTCGTGAGCTGCTGTGGATGCTCTGTTACATTTCTATTAGTCTAGTTTCTTCAGGCGTGTTTAGAAAGTAGACTCGGTCTCCTGCTTAAAGACTGCTCTTGTTTCTTGTAATATCAGGATGCATTGTTTTATGTATCCCTAATCTCAGCACTTGAGAGATGGATGAAGGATTTCAGGTTCAGGGCTAGCCTGGGCTATATAGTGAATTCCAGGCCAGCCTGAGATACCTGCCAAGACTTTAGCTTCAAAAACAAAAGAGAATCATCATCTAAAGAGATGGACCAGCAGTCAGGAGCACTTGCTGAGCCATGAGGTGGTGGCGCAGGCCTTTAACCCCAGTACTCGGGAGGCAGAGGCAGGCGGATCTCTGTGAGTTTGAGGCCAGCGTGATCTACAGTGTGAGTTCCAGGACAGCCAAAGCTGTTACACAGAGAAACCCTGTCTTGGAAAGCAAAAAGAGCACTTGCGATTCTTCCAGAGGACCCTGCAGCTCCAAGGGATCTGATCCCTTCTCTCAGCCTCCTCCATGGGCAGCCCACATCCGTGTGGCCCGCACTGAAAATGAATATAAAAACAAAAGAAAGAACTAGATTCAGCCTTTGTGTTAAGCCCAGTTCCCTGTGTTTTCATTGTTTGATTTATATGCTGAGCTTGTGTGTGATTTTTAAAGAGCTATAGAATCATAAAGATTGTTATAAAATTATGTTTTTAAAATCACCATAGGAAAGAGAGCTTGAAGCAAATAAAACAGAAAAAGTGAAAGAAGCCCAACTCGAAGCTGAGGTGAAGCAGCTAAGGAAGGAGAATGAGGCCCTGCGAAGGCACATAGCCGTCCTCCAGGCCGAAGTCTACGGGGCCAGGCTGGCTGCCAAGTACTTGGATAAGGAGCTGGCGGGCAGGTGTGTAAAAACAGCTCTGCTTGTGTTCTCAGGTGACAAGCCGTTGACTCACCTCTTGTGAATGAACACTCGGTCATTTTTACATGCAGCTGTAGGTTAGCAGTGTTGCATTAATATTGGCAGTGTTATGTATTTCAGATTGATTTATTCATACTAAATAAGCGTAGTTTACAAATGCAGACAGACGCTAACTTGATGCGAGACGCCTGTGACTGCAGTGCAGTTCCTTTCAGTATTAACTGCCTTGACTGCAGCGGGCAGCGCCCACGTGGTCAGCAGCAAGGAACCCCGTGTCCTTTACAGCTGATCTTTCAGACCCTCATATATTTGAGAATAAAAGTAATTTTACAATAAAGTTAGTTCTGTTGGCTTTAATATTGTTAGGGGAATTAGTCACAAACTTGCATGACAAGCTAGTATCAAAACATTTTATACTCATTTTAATATTCTATTCAGAACTGAGATGAAGCAAATATTTTTAAATAATTTTAGATTTGTAAATTTTATTTTATATGTATATTTTGCCTGCCTGCATGCTGTATATGCACCGCATATATCAGAGGTCAGAAGAGGGGTTCAGATCCCTTGGAGTAAGAGTGACAGATGATTGTGAGTCACCATGTGGGTGTGGGAACTGAACCCCGGTCCTCTTCAAGAGCACCAAGTGCTCTTAACCTCTGAGCTGTCTCTCTCCCGCCCTGAAGAAAATAATTTTTATCATTTTGAAATAAAAATCTTCTAATGGCTTTGTAAAAATAAACTTAGACATTAAAGGAAACGTTCTTACATAGTTCATGTCATCATCTAACTGCCCCTGTTTAATAGTACACTGAACTCAATTATGCCAAATAAAACATGGTGCCATTGATCTCAAAAAAATGGTTTCTTGGATATATTTAAATTAAGTATATAATTAAAGGAGTTCTTATTTCTTTCCTTTTTTTTTTTTTAATTTTATTTGTTTATTTTGGTTTTTCAAGACAGGGTTTCTCTGTGTAGCTCTTAGAGCCTGTCCTGGCACTTGCTCTGTAAATCATGCTGGCCTCGAACTCACAGAGATCCGCCTGCCTCTGCCTCCCGAGTGCTGGGTTTAAAGTCATGCGCCACCACTGCCCAGCTTAAACATTTTTTTAAAGCTGGTTTTCCCCTTAAAGATACCTGTTCCTTTCAGTTTGCCTGTACAAACTGAGAGACACTGGGAAAGACTTGGGTGTTAGTTTTATTATCAACTGAAATATATATACAACAGCTACTTAAATTAACAAATCTTCTCAGTTATCTTAAACATAAGAAAAACTACTCTCTTTTTCCTCATGTGAAGGGTCCAACAAATCCAGTTACTAGGACGAGATATGAAGGGACCTGCTCACGATAAGCTCTGGAACCAGTTAGAAGCTGAAATACATTTGCATCGCCACAAAACTGTCATCAGAGCCTGCAGAGGACGCAGTGACTTGAAGCGACCCATGCAAGCGCCCCCAGGCCATGTATGTTCTTGCCTCCCACTCAGTCTCTCCGTGCCTGGGTTACTAGTCCTCTGTGCTTTCTTCCCTTCTACTAGCATTTGAAACCTGTACTCAAGGGCTCAGCTTCTTTGAAGTAGTTACATATTTAGAAGGTTCAATTACGTAAAGGAATTTTGGTCATTTTTCTGTCTCAATGTTCCAAGAGTGGTGTTTCTATAGACAGTAAGTCCTGTCTAGCAAGCACAAATTGCTTGTACTTTGGATCATATTTCAATTTTTTTCCTGTATCATGATTGGCACTCTTAAATTTATTATAGACTTATCTGTGGCAAGTTGGTTTTGGGAGAAGTTTTCAAGGAAAGTTTTGGTACCTACATCCAAACATAGATTCTGAAATGCCATTTACATTTATTTGGTCTTCAGTTAGATGGAATTGGAAGTCTATCCAGTTTTCTGCTTCTGTAACCATCATTGTTCATGAGCATTCTAATTTATTACACAGACCTTAACTAAAACAATTTAATATATGGGACAGGTATAGTGGTACTTGCCTTTAATCCCAGAATTTGGGAGGCAGAGGCAGGTGGATCTCTGTGAGTAGTTTGAGGCCAACCTGGTCTACATAGTTTGTTCCAGGACACCCAGAGCTGCATAGTGAGACCTTGTCTCAAACAAACAAATTAATATATGAAGCAAACTTTTCCATAGTGTTTAACATATTTTAGTGCCACATGAATGTGGACTTCGTGTTAGTTACTATTGTTTTTTCACCAGCCAGCTCCCAAATGAATACACAGAGACATTCTTACTCAAGCCAGCCTTAGCTTGGCTTGTTTCTAGCCAGCTTTTGTAACCTAAGTTGTGCCATTTCTCTTTAACTACATTTTGCCCCTGGCTCTTACTCCATGGCTGGCTGTGGCTAGCCTCTAGCACCCTCCTCTCCTCTTTCTCTCACTCCTCCTTCTGTCTTGAACCTAGATTTCTCCCCCTATGTATTCTGTCTGCCCGCCAGCCCCGCCCACCCCTCTCCTGCCTAGCCATTGGCCATTCTGCTCCTTGTTTAGACAGGCAACGTAACACCGCTTCACAGAGTTACACAAATACAACATACAGGAATGTAACACATTTCACAATAATATTCCACAACAAGTTACTGTTCTCCTGCTGGGCTGAAACATTCAGTCTAAGGCAACTCATGACAGGAAGCATTTAACTGGGGGCTTGCTTCCAGATGCAGCGTTAACCCCTGGTCATCATGATGGGAAGCATAATGACAAACAGACAAGCAGGCTTGATTCAGGAGCAGTGACTAAGAACTCATCCTGATCTGCAGGCAGCAAGCAGAGAGAGACAAGACCACACCTCCTGACCCTTCTGTTAACAGTCTACCAGCTAGGAAGCAAACATTCAAGAATATGAGCCATTCCCATTCAAGCCACTACAGCCTTAAACAATAAAAGAGTCTGTTACCTCCACAAAAATTATTGTAAGAAGAATTAATACTTTATGAGGAGCAGGTTACATTGTATAGTTATGTCATTGTCCTCCAGAGCCTGATGTTCCGTGTTAACTTTGAGGTCCAGTAGGTCTGAGAACAGGGTACGAGGGGACACAGTGGTTGGTGTGGGGGTGTATCAGAGTGATAAAGCGTACTCAAATGGCTTTGTGATGTCATCTTACTAGTTAGCTAGAAGCCAGAAGACCAAAGTTATTTTACATTAAAATAGGACTCTTAACTTAATCACTCTGATAATTATGGACCTTTTAAATAAAGTAGTAAACATATTAGTATGGTAATGTGCCCAGCCCTCAGTCAGAAAGACAGCGGTGATCCCTGGAGACAGTAAGAGAAGCTTGGGAAGTCAGGAAGAAGTCTTAAGTTGGAGAGCTGTCAGGGAAGCAGTATATAATTGATATAATTGAAATCAAGGAAGGGAAGAGGCCAGGGAAAATTAAACAGGAATAGGAGGCCAAGGGTGGAAAGTTGGTGTGGCGGAAGAGAGTAGTGGGTCACAAAGAAAGAAACCTGAGCAGTCAGATGTAGGTTACCTGGGAACGTAATACAAACAAAGGAAAAGAGGGAGTTTCAAAGTGGATGCTTATTGGCCCCTGTCAGCTGTCTTCTGGGTAGGGTAGTGACTACACGTGTACATTGATTCAGCAGTATTTTTACAAGTGACCATAAAGAAAATTGCAGGCTCGGAAGTTGCCTTAATCCTAGTGACCAAAGTAAGGTGGGAGGCCGGGAATCTAGTGTGTGTGGCGGGCGGAAGACAGTGACTGAGCCGAAGGGAAGGAGGGAGGGATGCTGTTGGGCTCCTTTTTGTTTGGTTTGGGGATTGGTCAGTATCTTGTAATTGGAAAATGGTCAGAATTATTGAGCTGCTGAGTTGAAAAGGAGTTTAGTAGAGGAATTTAGTAGAGAAAAAAGGACGAAGGATACCAGAGGGAGCCGAGCATGCCAGTGCAAATGGTTTGTTTAGCATGCTGTAAGGCCGTAGGTTTGAATTACAAACAAAGGCAAGGGAGGTCAAACTAAAAAACAACTAAAGGACAAAGAAAGGAACGTTTTTAACAGGTAGGTTCTAGAGCACTACAGAATAAAAAGTAATTAGTGTTTCAAGTTGAAAAAACAATGTCAATTCTAAAAATCAGTTATTTATGTACAGTATTAAGACATTTTCCATGAAGGTACATGGTTACTACTTTATTCCTTAGACATATAGACATACTTGTTTATTGATTGATTCCTTCTAATTTTATAATGCCTTAAAATCTAAACAGATATGTATTTATGAAAGATGAAAAAAAAGAGGTCTTAAAATTTACCATACCTACTGAATGAACAGCATTTTCATCTTTTAATTATTATGCTATGTATACCAGAAGATTAATAATGATTTCTAAAAGCAAGTTATGTAACATGAGTTCCACTTTTTTGTTATTTAAATACTACATTTTTTTTTTTTTTTCTGTTTTTCTCTGCAATAAGGATCAAGACTCTTTGAAGAAAAGCCAGGGAGTTGGTCCAATTCGAAAAGTTCTCCTCCTTAAGGAAGATCATGAAGGCCTTGGCATTTCAATTACAGTAAGAAATAGTGCTTCTGGGTTCCCTGTGGACAGGGCTAGGAGAACCAGGCATCATCTGGAGAGCAAAGTGTTGTGGATATAGCTCAAAACAACCAAATTTTTCAAGACGTAGGCAGCAGCACTTTTGCATAAAACCTTTTTGTGTACAAAACTTGTTATAACTTAGGATGGGTGCTAACATCTTCCCTACAACTGAAAGCACGGTCTGTACTGTGTCTCTGTGCTGTGCCATGTCTCTCTGGAGCCTATGGGCAGCCAGGCTGTGCCTTTCTGAGTTAAGTGGGGTTAGAGAAATGGGTCAGTGGTTAAGCACACTGGCTGCTCTTTGAAAGGGCCCAGGTTCAATTCCCAGCACCTGCATGGCAGCTCATTAACTGACTGTAACTCCAGTTCCAGGGGATCTGACTCCCTTTTCTGACCTCCTCAGGCACCTGACATGACCATGTTATAAAGACATACATGCAAGCAAAATACCAATATACATAAAATAAATTGTTAAAGTAGAAGTAACATATAATTACACAAGCTATAAAAAGTGAGACCAATTAACAATTACTGTAATTCTTCAGTTCAACATCACATATCTTTACATTTATGAAATTAGAGAATTATCATGCAATTTTAAAACTGCCTTGGTTAAATCTGTCAGCGGTGGCACATGTCTTTTATCCCAGCACTTGTCAAGCAGAGCCAGGTGGATCCCGTGAGTTCAAGGCCATCCTGGTCTACATAGTGAATTCCAGGGCTGCATAGAGAGACCCTGTTTTTTTAAAAAAAATTATCTTGGCTATACATAAAAGAATTGATCTTATCACACATATCTTAGTGCTCCTTTGCTATGAAGAGACACCTTGGCTGAGGCACTCTTAGAAAAGAAAAGATTTATTTGGGGCTTGTTCACAATTTCAGAGGACCGGTCCCTTGTCATCGCGGTAGGGAGGTGGCCATACCCATGGCACAGGAGCCCTAGCTGAGAGCTGTGTCCCTATTGGCAGGCCAAGAGAGCCGCTGGCCCTGGCTTGGGCTTCTGCAATCTCAAAGCCCTTCCATCCCCAGGGACACACTTCCTCCCGAAAGGCCACGCCTGCTTCAACAAGGCCACACCTCCTAACCCTTCCGATACTTTCGGACGCTTCTATTCCCTGGTGACTAAGCATTCAGAGATATGAGCCTGTGGGAGCCATTCTTACTCAGGCCACCACAGTATATATATAACCACTTAGATTTGATAGAAGGCTATAGAAGGGCCCACAAGATGACACAAAATACTGTGCCATACTAGTATATAATCTGTTGTTAATGTATAAGAAATGGCGTTATTGTAATTTTTGTTTGCATATTTTAGTTTGGAGGTCTATAGTGATTTCAGAAAATGTAATGTTTTAGTCACTGCACTCAGAGGTGCTCCTTTGGTAGCAAGCAAACTTTCACACAGTGTTTACAGAGACCTGCCTATTGAGAAGAGTTCTGAAGAAAATGTCTTCTCTAAGATGCTCTGCAGCCATTTTATAAAATATAAATTAACTAACTGCCTTTGGTGTTGTTACTGTTAGGGTGGAAAGGAACATGGTGTTCCCATTCTCATCTCCGAGATCCATCCAGGACAGCCTGCTGATAGATGTGGAGGGCTGCATGTTGGAGATGCTATTCTGGCAGTGAATGGAGTTAACCTACGGGACACAAAGCATAAGGAAGCTGTAACCATCCTTTCCCAGCAGGTGAATTCGCTTTATGGAAGTAAAACTGGCAAACAGCTTGTCTCCATTCTTTGAAGCCTAGGGATGTCATTTGGTCACATTTGCTGAAAAGAACAGTTATGTTTACTCCTTTCCAAAGGAGTAAACAGATTACATAAGTCGTCTCTGTAGCAGTCTCTGTACAGCTGAATTGTGCAGTAAGGTGTGTGTTGATTGCTGCTTAGAATAGGATGGGTACATAAAAACATGATTGGCAGCATGATAGCAATATAGGTCATTAGAGAAAGGGCTGCTGGAAGTAGACTGGCTTTAGTCATAAAATGTAACTGTAAGGGCCCTGAGCATTCCTCTAGCCCACTTTTCTTACTTAACATAATTAAGCTGGGCTGTAGAGTTGACTCAGTTGTTAAGGGATCCTGCTGCTCTTGCAGAGGACCCAGATTAGACCCTCAGTACCTACATGACAGTTAATAATTCCAGCTCAAGGGTCAATCCTAGGCCCTCTTCTGGTTTCCAGGAACACAGGGCAAAACACCAATAGGAATAATATAAAATAATGATAGTGATAAATATTAAAGTGGCTGAAATTCTTAGAGAATAGAGGATGTGCTCAAAGTTGCCTAGCAAATTAAATTATAGGATAAGATTCATATTTAGAGTCAGATTTGTTATGTGCTTACAACCTCTTTTTTTTCCCTCTGAGAATAGGGTTGATGGAATTAGAACAGGGCTGGGGGTCATCAACATAGTATACTAGTGTAGGACAATCGTAGTTGAATGTCATTGTGTAGTTAGCTTAGGTCTACCTCATGCATGAAACATCTCTATGACATCAGTTAAATAGCTTAAACAAAGGGAAGACCTGCTTAGATAATGACCTTTCTGGAAAAGTGATCTATTCCTGTGTATTCCTAACCTTTTGCTACTGTGACAGAGCATTGTCACCTACAAAGTTTACTCTTTGGAGTCACACAGTGGTGTTTTTAAAGATGGCAAAAACAATCTTGCAGTGCTTTAAGTAAGTTTACAGGTTTGTGTTGGGTCACATTCATAGGTGTCGTAGGCACATGTCTCTAGGCTGGACATGGTCACACCTCTAATAAGACTACTGCCACAGGTGGCTTTTTTAAAAATTATGTGGGTACTCTGCAAGAGCAGCAGGTGCCCTTAACCGCTGAGCCATCCGTCAGCCCATCTTAATTGTGTTAAATAGGAAAAGTGGGCTAGAGGAACGCTCAGGGTCCCTACAGTTACACTTTATGACTAAAGCCAGTCTACTTCCAGCAGCCCTTTCTCTAACGCCCTATGTTGCTATGATGCTCTGCCATCTAGTTATCTGATAAGAAAGAATGCTACTGTAGTCTTTTGAGTTAGTGTCTTCTGGGCTCAGTTTGACTATGTGTCAGTAGCATAGTAGCTGAATGAATAGCAGCTGTGGGACGGAGCAGCAGGTAGCAGTCGTGAATGTTAAAGAAACAGCCTGTAGCACGTCTCTCTCGGGGGTGGCACCAGGAAAGCAGAGCACCTAAGACACTAAGTGGGTAGCTGTCAAAACAGGCATACTCCGTTTGGACAAAAGACAGGCAGTAATTTTCAGAGTTACGAACAAAAGACTAGGATGCGGTGCTTGTAGTCTCAGTAAATGACAGTTATACTTTGGGAATTTTCTTTACCTTAAAATGATTTATAATTTATACTTGAGCATAAAGTTATGATTAAGGAATAGCAGTAAAAGTGTTACATGTAGCCTAGCACAGTGAGTGAGTAAGGACTTCATAGCTGAATTGCTGCTGTCTCTTTGTCCTTCTTCACCATGTGGGGAAAGCTGAGTATTCTCGTCAGTGCTCATCAAGGCTTCCCATTTATGAGAAAGATATTATAATGGGGATGCTCTACAGATCAACAAAAGCTGTAATTTTGTGCAATCAATATAGTAATTACTGTTATTACTAAATAAATTAACACTGTTGTCTCATCTCTGTTTGAAAAAATTCCTTTAAACAAGGGATTAAGACTTGGAAAAAAGTTGGGTGTAGGGATTCATACCCCAAAATTGCAGTTTGGGGAGGCTGAGGCAGGAGAATTGCTGTAAGTTTGAAGGTAGTGTGGTTGAGTTCCAGGCTAGCATAGACTACAGAATAATTTCCTATCTCAAAGGAAGAACAATAAGTCATAGCAATTTATTGGACTGTTCAGTATACTTATATACAGTTTATTTAGTAACTGTAGTAAAGTTGCTAAATTGCTGATAAAATACAAGATGACTTTAAACTGAACGCTGGCTCGATCTGGAGAAATACTGTGCTCAGGCCAGACACACACCTGTAAACCCTTTTCTTAAGAGGTAGAGGCGGGGCTGGAGCTCTGGCTGCTCCTCCACAAGTCCTGAGTTCAATTCCCAGCAGCCACATGGTGGCTCACAACCATCTATAATAGGTTCTTCTTCCCTCTTCTGGCATAAAGTACCACATGCAGATAAAGCCCTCATATACATAAGCATAAAGTAAATAAATAAATCTTTTTAAAAAGAGGGGGGAGGTGGGGGCAGGAAGATCAGGAGTTGAAGCTAATCCTCAGCTGTGTGTGGATTCAGAGCCAGCCTGGTCTAATGAGACCTCGTCTCGAATGAATGGATGCTTTGATCAGTAGAGGGCACTGTAATGTTAGAAGGGACTCTCTCATAAAGAGGATCCATGGAGTGGTCTGACCGTCTTGGCCTTCTGCGCTTGGACCCCTTGAGAGTCTGGAATTTCCTGCCTGACTGAAAAGGGACAGGACCTGCCATCCCCTCCTGGTTCTGCTCCCGAAGACTGGGACGTCTGTCTTGATTATGGTCAGGGTCACGAGACTTGCCTTTCTGTCTTCATGCCTGCTTTAGAGAGGGGAGATTGAATTTGAAGTGGTTTATGTGGCTCCTGAGGTGGACTCCGACGATGAAAACGTGGAGTATGAAGACGAGAGTGGACACCGCTACCGTCTGTATCTTGATGAGTTAGAAGGCGGTGGCAGCCCTGGCGCTAGCTGCAGGGACAGTGGTGGCGAAATGAAAGTGTTACAAGGTAAAACTCACTTTACGTTTTGTTATGCCTGTGTCGGTTATTTTAAGATTGGATGTGACACCTCAGGGTTCTTCAGTAGCGCGGTTTCAGTTTGAATGCTGCAGCACGAACAGCTTTATTATGCACCACTAGTTTACATGTTTTCTGGTTCATCTTGGCTCGGGTGCTTGAAGACCAAAGAAGACTCCGGTTTTCTAGACTCTGAAACAAACAAACACCAGCATCTCTTTGGAGGACACGTGTCTTAGTGCAAGTGGTCTCCTCAGAGCACAAGGAGGCAGAGCTTGAGCACTGTGCAGTAGTGATTAAATTGGTATCTGTGATTATTGCCCATCAGGATATAGGATCCTCGGGATGGCTTTTTTTTTTTTTTTTTCCCTGAGACAGGGTTCCTCTGTAGCTTTGGAGCCTGTCTTGGAACTTGCTCTGTAGACACAGGCTGGCCTCGAACTCACAGAGGTCCAACTTCCTCTGCCTCCCGAGTGCTGGGATTAAAGGCATGAGAGCCACCAATGCCTGGCTGATCCTCAGGATTTTTAACTTGGTAATTATTAAAGGAACATGCTAGCACTTTCTATGGGTAGAGTAGTGGTTTACAAGTTCTCATAGATAAGTGTCTTGAAGTCCCTGGGACCTTTTGAGAGGCATGAAATGGGGGAGCTTTTCATGATAACCCTGTGATGAAACAGTGAGGATTTCAGTAAATGTTAATTCTCAGTATGTTGCTCATGTTGGCTTGCTTTTTAAGATAGCATCCCTCTGTCAAGCCTGCACGGGCTTTGAGTTTGCAATCCTCCTGCCTGGTCTCCAGGTGCTCAAGGACCACATGCTCCTCCCAGTTTATCTTGTGTGTGTGTGTGTGTGTTCTTTGCCTAAGCCCCAGTACTAGACTGCTTTTTTAATATTCCATTTGGTGAGGTGCAAGTGTGCGTGTCACTTAACCAAGCACACGGAACCAAGTGCACGTCCGTTACTTATCCAGCATATTGAACAAAGGTCTTAGTAAGTACTGCTTAGTAAGTAAGGTTCCTGTTTTAGAGGAATGGCTGACAGACAGTGCTTATTCAGACTGTTGAGTGGCCATTATCTTAATGTTTTTCAGTCTGTTACTTCAGAGAAGACAATTGAGAGTATCTGTTGCCAGAAATGAAATATGAACTCTTAAGTGAAAATTAGCTTGGCTGGTTCCCATATGTAAGTTTGGAGTGAGTTAGACGGACACACTAATGAATGTGATTCTTACGTGATGCGATAAAATGTGTCAGCTTTTGAATTGCTACTTGCTTCAGCAATCCAGTGTTTTTCATATGACCCAAAGATATGTGATTTTACAAAACTGTGTATTCACCTTCACAGTGTAAGAAAAACTATTGAACTCTAATGTAACTGTGTGTTGATAATGTCTGACTTCCACATTGTTAGGTTTCTGTATAGTACTAAAGAATATTGATAGTTATTTGAAAAGACAATTAAAATACTTTCCCCAGCCACACGTCTATGAGGCTGGTTCTGCATGTACTTACAACAGAGTAAACAAAACCTAGACGCAAACCTAGCCACCTCCTGGGAAGCCAGCGGCTACTGGAGCTGGAGAGATGGCAAAGAGGTTAAGCGCACTGATTGTTCTTCTGGAGGTCCTGAGTTTAATTCCCAGCAACCACATGGTGACTCACAACCATCTGTAAGGAAATCTGTTGCCCTCTTTAGGCCTGCAGACAGAACACTGTATACATAATAAATAAATTTTTAAAAGGAAGGAAGAAAAGAAGGAAGGAAGGAAGGAAAGAAGGAAGGAAGGAAGGAATAGCAAGCAGCACTTAGGAGGCCAAGACAGTTGAAACTGAGTTTGAGACCAGCCTGGTCTACAGAGCTAGTTCTAGGACAGAAACAAATAATTAAATAGAAAAGAAAGAAAACATGTTCCTTACTTTTTGTTATATCTGATGTTAGAAAACTTGTTACCTATGTAAACTGTTAGCACTTAAAACATGAAGTATAACTCAGCCAAAATGCATACCATGTGGTTTATGATTGTTAACTGAGCCAGATAATGAAAAGTATATCTTTGCTGGGTTTGAGGGCTTCCTATGACTCCTAGGCTGACCAGGAACTCATTGTGTAGACCAGGCTGTCCTTGAACATGGCATCTGCCTGCCTTAGCTTCTCATGTACTACCATACCTGGCGAAAATACATCTGTCCATTATTGTTTAATGTAGGCCTTTCTTAGCTTACTTAATAGGTGTTTTAGTAAACCATATTTACTTACAACCCTATTGTTAGGTAAGTTAACCAAAATCTGTTTTAATCTTTCTTCAGTCGTTATATTGCCAATGGATTAAATGTGTAACAGTCAACCAGCATACAGTTTAGTGAACTGAAGTAATGAGGGAGCAAACATAGAAATGTAAACGTTTGCATTTCAGTAGAGAGCTGTACGAGGGAAACGGAATTTTTTATTTTCGTTTGCATTTCAGTAGAGAGCTGTACGAGAAAAACATGGAATTTTTTATTTTCCTTTGTCAGCCCTAAGTTTTTTTTAGAAAACTGGGTAGATTTATCTCACCACTTTCAGGTGGCTTCAGGAGACAATACTTTAAAATTGTGCGTGGTGTGTGACGTTTACTAAACACTGTTAATTTGATGGAGGCGGGGTTAGTTTACCTTGTGTCACCCCTAATACTTTCAGTGGACGTTTTGTTTTTTTTTTCTCTCTCTCAGTAAGATTATGAAACGTAAACGTATCTCCTTCCAAAAATCCCTGGGTTTTCTTCTGTTCCTTTCTGCCAGGATATAAGAAGACAGTGAGTGACGCACACGAGAATGGGGACATGGGGGCTTCAGGCGAAAGCCCGCTGGATGACAGCACTGCGAGAGAAGCCGAGCTGCACAGCCTGCATCATAGAAAGGCTTACTAACCCACCCATCCCCAGACGCTCGCTCGTCAGACTCTTGCAATTTGGGGCACTAGGGAAGATGGCACAAAGACTGCACAAGATCAAGGGAGGCTGTGTGTTGCCTAAAGACAGGCTGGAACCTCAGGGCTTCGTGTGAACAGTTCCAAGTGCATAAACCCCTGTTTTCTGTGGTAGACCTTAATTAGCTATTGCATGGAAGGCAATTTTGATTTTCCTGGACTCTAAGCACCAAAGCATGTGTTTCCCGGGGGATATTACTAGGCTCTTCAGGGCCAAGTGGATGCTAATTCATGGCTCCTTTTCATATGTCACAGGACAATGCTAACTGGATTTTCTAAGTACCCTTTAAATACAGCAGAATAGAGGAACCCATATCACATATTCCCTGAGGATAAACTAGAATTTCAGATGACAGAACTCGACTCAGTGAATTGCAGAAATCTAGGTTGACATTTTTGCTTAATTAAAAAATTTATTTCAGGTTTTTTTTTTTTTTAAAGGTGTGTTGTACATTCCTGATATCTAAATTAATTCTTCACGATCATTTGTTGTAATGAGTTTGCTTTCCAGTTTATTCAGCTGCAGTACAAAATAGTTCTCTTTAGGCAATCCTGTATCAATCAATGCTGCACTAGAAATAGTTTCTGAGAAGTTACTGTGCATTTTCCTTTGGGGTTTTAAAGGAAACTCAGACGAGTGTAAAATCCCTGTTGTCAATTATGTTGATCTGTGTGCGTTGGCACTAGAGCACTACACTATCAGTGTTTAGTCTCAAATGTTTATACATTTTGAGTTGGTCATTAGCTTTGTCTTGTGATAGTCAGGACACATTACTATGTCATGAATTACATTGTGTTCAGACTGCAGTTTGCTTTAAGTACCTGACTTGCCAGTCATTGAAAACCAGGAACCAAGGTGGGCAAGACAAGGTAAAGACATTTTGGTGCAGTGACTGTATTGGTTTTCCTATCAGCATATGTTTGGCTAAAGCAGTACTCACATGCAAACTCTGTAATTGTTAGCTCTCCTGTATCAGAACAAAGCACAGAGTGCCTGCTCCCTCCTTCCTTATCCACAGACCACATTGCACCTTGCTGGGCAAAGGCAAATACTGTCTTTAAAGTGGTGGTGAAGTTTGCTATGTCACTGTCTTAAAGGGTTTACACCTAAGGGAGTAGTAAGTGGGAGGGGCCTCCACGCAAGGCTTTTAGGATATTATTATCTCCTTTCTTGGGATGCTTGTTTTCCCCAGATGCATTATATATTTGTTCAAAGTTAAATCTATAAAATGTATATACTTTATTTTGTGATTTTTGCTATTTATAAATTTAGTTTGTAACTGTTGCTCATTTACGGTCTGTGTGGGTGGTTTCATTCTTCAGAGTATCACCGTGGTAACTGGTCACTAGAAATGCACTTGGTCTGTATATTGTTACTGATGCTGAGCTACTTTGTAGTGTAACATTGCCTGTAAACAAGGTTAGTATTTTAATTGTACAAATGAATAAAAAAAGTTACACATTACAGTTTGCTCCTGACAAACTAGGCCTCTTAAAAGAAAGATTGTTTTTTCCCTCCTGTATTCCTCCCATGCCAAACACATACCCTACTGCATGACTTGAGATCTTCAAAGTAGGTGGTAGCCAGTGTATTCAGTTAGCTTAAGAAAAAATATCCATGGTAACAGATCTGAAAACATTTTTGCTATGACATGAAACCATGTTGTTCCTATAGTCTTTCAACATACATTGCCTGGGAATGACCTTGGCTTTTTTTTTTTTTTTTTTTTTTTTTTTTTTTTTTTTCCCTTCCAAAGAATATGCCTTATATGTATGACTGAATCTTTAGGAAATGTAAGCTATAATCCTTTGGATTTTTTTTCAAGATCTGCACAATAAATGGACATGATTTTTAGAAGCTGGAGGGCATGTCTGTGCATTCCCTGTGAGAGGCTGCGTGAGATGCTTACTGTGTGTATTTAGATCTGGTAGTTTGTGTTTCTGCAGCCAGTGTCCTTTGCTTCTCTGCTTCTCGGAGGTTTGGAAACCCGAGAGCACAGTGGCGTGAACACTGCTGTACGGCACCCTGGCACTTTCCCGGACCTAGCTGGGACTTCATTTTAGACTATGTGGTAGTTAGGGATGAACTGGGTATTTAACTAAACCTTTTCCAAAGCACTTAGTGAAAAGTAGTTTTTATATTTCACGTAATAGGAGAGATGCCCATATAACACTGAGTCTTCTTGGACAAAGCCAAAAAGCGGGAGGAGGAAAGCTGTTGCAAAGCCATTACAGCGAGAACATGAAAAAGGGGACTTACTCAGTAGCGCATGCGCTGTGCGTGCAGATATGTGTTACTCAGTAGCGCATGCGCTGTGCGTGCAGATATGTGTTACTCAGTAGCGCATGCGGTGCGTGCAGATATGTGTTCACCTTAACGTGCAAAATTGTCTTCTGCAGCTCTCTGTTCTGAGCATGATGGAAATGCCACATTTGGCTTAGGGATTATTGTTGAACTAAATTTAAGAGAGATGAAGACTGTTGATTAGAGTTGAACAATTACAAGTTAACACAACCTGTCCATGGTGCTGGAATATTCCCCACGGCAGTGGGCTTATGTCATTTTCATATTTTAAAACAAAAATATATTGGTTCATATGTAAGGTGATTTATGATAAATGTATTATATCTAGTTAAGTTGAGCGTCATTCTTAATTAGCCTGTAAATAAAAATGTCGTCTTCTACATTAAAGTGTTATTGATAAGATTTGAAGGAAAATAAATGTTTTTTCTTTCATTCACATTAAATATTTTGCCTTATTGTGGGTTCTAAGTAGCCTCTATGACTTCATGAAATATGCAAAGGTTGAATCCAGATTCTGGAGTAGAATATTATGGGGTGGTATCCTCCTGCTATCAGGTCGCTGTGATTTAACAATCTTATCTTGAACCGCAACCACTCACCCTTGTGGCAGCCACGAGAGCACGTCTCAGTTGTCTGTCTCTAGCGGGAGGATGTTTGGCACTCTGGAGGCCGAGCTGCCTCACTCCAGTTCAGGCTGATGCTGTGCTGCTTTGGGTGGCTGACGGTCGGTCGGTCAGTCGGCCGGCGGCTGACAGGCAGCCTCTGAGGCACGGGGACTGGCGTGGGGACCCCCCCTGTTGTAATTGCAGTTGCAGTGACACACATGTGGCCCTCCTCCGGTCGGTTGGTCGTGCACCCGCTCTGGGGTCGGCTTGCCTCCACCCTCCTCGCCTGCTTTCCCTCGCTGACTTTGTCACTCCTGTTGGGCAGAGAGTGCCTTTTTCCTGTCAGGGTCTTCCCTGAGTGGAGCCAGGCCTGAAGAAATGGCTCCAGAGTTGGGGATTAAGAGCTGCTCATCTCATACCCAAAGAGTAAGCAGGATGGCCTCTCAAGTGGACGCCTCTAATGCTGACCCAAGGGCACGCATGGCTTGGTTGCTTAGTGTTTCAGAGACAGTTTACAGAGAACTGTTAGCTTACCAGGCAATGGCACTTGGTGTGGCTTCTGGTAGTAGGCGGTTTATACACTTAAAATGCTTGCATCAGCAACAGTACTCAAATGTGACACTTGCTGACCATCGGGGCATTTGGAATTGTGGTCCATGCTAGGCAGCGGGCGCCTATCTACTGACGCTATAGAACATGGTCCAAATGGATCTTTGGGAAGCCCATACCCATACTGTAGGGCATATCCATCTTCTGAGCTCATGTTTTCTTACTTGTGTGCTTAAGCCTATGTTAAAATATTGAATCCTAACACGTGTTTTAAAAAACGTGCTTTAGGCTCAGGCAGCTTCGCTGGTGAATGTCGCTTTGTGCTAGAGGAATGGGACATTCCTGTCCAGCGTTGTTGAGAGAAGATTGGGCTCTGTCTCATACTGGGTTTGTTGTGTTCTTCCCTCAGTCATAGTTAGGAGCCTGATCCTGTCCTTGGTTCTGTGACCCTTCTCAAGTCAGTCAACGTGAGGCTTCTTGGTCTTGGAGACTACTCAGATAGTAACTAGGGGAGGATCCACAAGGAGAACCCTCTGGGACATTCAGCAGTTTGGCATTAGAAAAACATTTCTGTAGCCGTGTCAGGGCAGCAGAAGTGGCTGTTTCCATTAGATTTCCTTGGTGGACTGATGGGGGAGAGGGGGCTGTGGTCAGATTGTCAGTGCCTCAGCAGGGCACTCGACCTCCCAACGGGAAGTTCCAAGGAAGCCTCCCCCACTGAGAGGGCTGAACAAGTGCATTCAGTTGTGCTTTCACAGACCATCTCATCCTAAAGCTAGCGGGGGGAACCTAGAACCTTGAAATGCGTGGAAACATTTGGGTGCATGCGCCTGGGACGGTGACTGTTGGCCCCTCGTGGATTGCTAGATCTTATAAAGGCAGCCTACCTTTTCTATTAAGGCCTTATACCACCACCCATACCCCGAGCAGAGGCGGTCCCACGTACTCTTCTGCCTGGTATATAACTTGGGTTAAGGCCTAGCAGAGCTTAATTGAGACACTCAGTGTAAGAGAAATACACAACAAGAAGTGCTACAGTAACTGTGGTGGCCCACACCTCTGATCCCAGCACTCGGGAGGCAGAGGCAGGCGGATCTCTGTGAGCTCTAGGCCAGCCTGCTCTACAGAGCAAGTTCCAGGGCAGCCTCCAAAGCTACAGACATGGTGGTTTGCTCCTGTAAGCTCATCACTTGGAAGGCAGGAGGGAAGATAAGTTCTGGGCCACCCTGGGCTACATAGTCCCAGGATAGCCCAGTCTGTACAGAGTGAGACTCTACTTTCTCTACTACCCAATGTAGTATGATTAGCATATTCTACCAAAAGCCAGTGGGGTACTCCAAGGATGGGTTGAAAAGAGGATGTGATCAAGGAATATAAGAATGAATCCTACTTGCAGGGAGGGTGAATTGATTAACTTTGGAATAGGATATTTATGAAGAGCATACTTAACCACAAGGAGACAAAACTCAGCAGGGAAAAGATTCACTGAACATAATTTTGTTCCCCAAAAGTGGATATGTTAGTACAAAATGGATTAAGACAAAAAGCATTTGGGATAGAAATGTTTATACAGTTTACCACAAATTTGAAATAATTTTAACCTTGTGACTTAGTCTCTTTCCTGTTGCTGAGATAAGACACCATGACCAAGGCAACTAGGCAGGAGAGTTTATTTGGGGCTTACATTTTCAGCATCCATGTCATCACGGCAGAGAGCATGGCAGCAGACAGGCATCATGCTGGAGCAGTAGCTAAGAGCTTACTGATCGACAAGATGAGGCAGAGAGCTAATTGGGAATGAACGGACTTTAAAACCCCCCAGTGACACACCTAATCCTTTCCAAACAGTTCACCAATACGTATCAAATATGCTAGCCTACAAGGACCGTTCTTATTCAAACCACCACACATGTAAAGGGAGGGGATAGGATGGCTCAGTGGGCAGAAGTACTGGCCTTAGGCTTGACTTGAGTTCAGTCCCTGGAACCCACAGTGAAGGAAAACATACAAAAGTCATGGCACACACCATGTACGTACACTCACACACACACACACAAATAATAATAATAAATTTTAATACATATGGTTAACAAAAATTGGTAGAACCATAAGAAAATTGTAAAGATCAATGATAATGAATAAGAGCAACACAATATTGAAGGACATCAAGATTTGAACAACAAAGGTTTACTTTAAATCTTAAGTTAAAGCTGTATTTTTTTTTTAATTTGGTAAAGAAAGACCTGTAGTTTCTAATGAGGAAGATAGACAAATGGTCTGTGTCAAGAAAACTTGGGTAAATGTAAAATAGACACTAAAACAGGTTAGAAAGGTAGGTGCAATTTGAGAAAGTGGCAGTAGGGGGCAGGAGATTCCAAAAGCTGCATTTTACGCACTGGGCTAGAAGGCTTTTTGGAGGGCCATTAAGTAAAACTAGAGCCATTCGAAGGATGAATACATTGAAGTTTGGAGAAGTTACATCATTTGTCCAGGGTCACACAGTGTCAGTCATGATTCAAACCCTCCTCACTCTTCCCTACGCCATGAAGAGAGGAGGGGGAACCGCAGTTGAGGTGGAAGGCTTTGCCGTTGCATCTTGTTTTCATTTTTCCCTAAGTGGTGCAAGGCCTGAGCGTAGGTTTAGAACAGTTGATTTTTGTTACGTGGTGATTGACTGTTACAATGATGAAATACAAGCAGAAAGATCAGGAGCAGCCTCAGCTTCATGATGAATTCCCTGTCAGCTGACTGCATGAGACTCTATCCAAACCCCAAACAAGGAAAGAGTGTAGGGCCTGTCTGTAACCCCAGAATCAGAAATGTCTTGGGGGCCATAATTATAAGGGACAGACAGAATGCAATCTGTTCTTATGATGCCATGGCTGGCACCTATGCAGTCAGAATTGTCTATGCATGTCTGGTCATGTGTGGGATACTCGGACCACAGAAAAGCTCTGTTTTTCTGTGCTCCCTGCTAGATCAGGCTTAGCTGTGGAGAGAGAGCTCCTCACTCACCCAGCTGCTCCTCACAGTCAGGACACACCAAGGAAGGGAAACCCTGCCTCCAAACAAACTCCTTGCTTTCGTCAGGGTGAGCTAAGGTGTGTAGAGAAGAAATGTACTGGGCAGAGAGCAGTGTCTAGGGAGAACTGTAGAGGCTGTGTGTGGTAACATAGCCCACTAATCCCAGAACTCAGGGGGTGGTGCAAGCGGTTTTTTGTGAGTTTGAGATCAGCTGGAGCAAGCAAAAAGATGCCTGCCTGCCGCTATGGTGGCGGAAATGCGAACGGTCCCCGAGGGCTCCTATAGAAAAGTGTTTGCTTCCCAGCTAAACTGTTGAAGTGATTTGGGGAGGGAAGGGACATGGTGCATGTATGCAGGCTGCAAAAGAACTTGCAGGGAGTCTTCTCTCTCCTATCATGTGGGACCTGGGGACTGAACTCGGGTTTTCAGGCTTGATGGCACGTGCCTTTACCCCCTGCAAGGGTAAAGTTTTTATGTTAGCACACAAAGCAATGGTTCTTTGTCTTTGCTTTTTCATTGTACTTCAGAAATGTGGTTTGAAGATAAGACCTTCCAGCCAAGTTAGATGGGCCTATGTAAAAGTCACGGCAGTCTTAGCATTGATCATTAGAGTTGGTAATGGCTCTTAATTAGCATTGATCATTAGAGTTGGAAATGGCAGAAATGAGGAAGCTGTGACTCCAGTGACAACAAATGCAAACACACTTCAGGGTAGGATGCCCTAACATAGGAGATAGAGGCAGGCGGATCACAGGTTCAACGTTATCCTCAACTATAGAGAAGGGAAGACATCCTGTGCTATATCAGGGTCAGCCTCAATAAAATAAAAATAATATAAAAAGGGTTTTTTTTGGGGGGGGTCACGTTGGTTTGGTGTTTCAAGATAGGGTTTCTCTGTGTAGCCCTGGCTGATCTGGAAGTTGCTCCGTAGACTAGGCTGGCCTCAAACTCAGTGACCCACCAGCCTCTGCCTACCAAATGCTGAGATGAAAGGCACACACTACCCTGTCTGACATGCTTCTATCTTCCCTAAGGGCTCGAGATGGCAGGTGGAATACAGCTTGTCGTTAATTTTAAGAGGAATGAGAAGGTTTAAGTTACCTTTGCAACAAAAGAAGGCCCCATATAACTTTGGGGAGACGTGGGAACCATAACATAGGGATAATTTTTAGCAGACATCAGGTACTTCTATGGTCTTTTTTGTTATAGTGAGGGACGCTTGCCTCTATCCTATGAACTTTGTCTGTAAACCCTGTGAACATGTGCACCTAGCTGTCAAGGTTTGAAGGTAAAGTTTAATTGCCATTCTTTCTATGTAGCGGTTTCTAATACTAGACAGTCTTTAACAGTTGAGTTAGCCAGGCATAGTGGTGCATGCCTTTAATTCCAGCATACAGAAAACAGTTTGAGGCAAGCCTGGTCTACATAGAGAATTCCAGGACAGCCAGGGCGACATGGAGAGACTCTGTCTGTCTCACCAAAAGAAAAGTTGAGGGGTAGGACACAATGTGGTCCAGTGCCAGATCCCAGCTCCCTCGTTTGGCCTATGTAGACACCGCATGCATGTGATACGCAGACATAAATGCAGGCAGAACATTCATACACACAAAATGAAATAAAAAATAAATTTGATACACTGGAAAGGGGTTGTTTTATATGGAGATTTATTCATTTTGAACAGCCTTTTCATAGTTCTATGAAGTGCCTTTCCTGAGAGTGGCTTCTATCTGGCCCTAGACGTTCCTTCCACAGATGGTTGTCTCCTGTGTTTAGTACAATTTCATTGCTCACTTTTACAGGTCAGCCATGCTGCATTTCCTGTACTTCTTTGGGCATTTGGATGAGATGAGGGTCTGGCACCCAGGCCACAAGTTTATATAGTTGTGTAGTACTCTCCACAAACTTGTCAATCGTATCTGCCATATTAGTCCCCTGCTCCCCGTGGATCTGCTCCATTGAATTCCCCACAGTAAACACTGCTTCCTTCCTGTATTGGGAGTTGTACCACCTCAGACTTTGGAAGATCATACCTATATTTCACTTGGTGACTTTAGCCATCGACATTCCAGTCCCCTTCCAGATGGGCAGATACTACAAACCTGTTCTTGGAGTTGGTGTGGATGTGTAAGATCTTTAATTGTACTAATTGTAAGGTCCGAATAAGGACAATGAGCTCTGTTTTAGGGACAGAGTTTTGAGAAGGGTGTGCATTTCCTAAAAGGTACTAAAGCAACTAACCATTGTGTATTCTGCTTTTAAATGAGCTTTCTATCAAACTGCTGCTGTTACCCATGAACATATATTTAAACTAATAAAAACACATTTCTTTTGTTCTTTCTTTTCTTTTTCTTTTTTGAGCTTTGAGACAGGGTTTCTCTGTATTGCTTTGGATCCTGTCCTGGAACTTGCTCTGTAGACCAGGCTGGCCTCAAACTCACAGAGACCGGCCTGCCTCTGCCCCTAGAGTGCTGGGATTAAAGGTGTGAGCCACCAATACCTGGGGAAAACATATTTCTTTATTATTCTTATTATCATGCTATAGGGGATGCCATGGGCATGTGTGCAAGCCACAGGGTGACTTTATGGAGTCAGTTCTGTCACCTTCCACCTTTACATGGGTTCCTGACATTGGACTCAGGTCTTAGGACTTATGCAGCAAGCACTTTGTCTGATGACTTCCAGTACTGTCTGAACTTGGTGTGACGTTTGAATTTCCATGTTGTCCCAAGGTTAGTGTAGAGGCCTAGTTAACTAGCAAAGCAGCTATAGCCACTGCTTTAAAACAGCTTGACCACTCTGCTGTCACTGACTTGATTGCTTAGATGAGCAAGTGGCTGTGTTTGGGAATTCTGTCCCCTAAAGTAGAACTTTGCCTTTTGTGCATATAGATTTCCTGTATTGGGACATTACTTAACTCATTGTTTTATTGGTCATGTCCACTTGGACATTTTTCAGGCCAGTGGAGTAATCCCTTTTCTCTCCCTGAAATAATGCTCCATGTAAAGGTTTTGCTTTTAAGCCACAAATTGATACCCATGTTAGACAAAAAAAAAAAAAAAAAAAAAAAAAAAAAAAACCCAAAAACCTTTCTGTCAGGAAACCCTCAAAGTTGTCTTAGATTCAAGGATACACAATGAGGCCAGCTCCCATTGGAGAGAGGGGACATTGTGCAGGCTGAGCAAAGATAAATCCCAAATACTAAACCTTTGGGGCAGACATTTGGGCTCTGGTTGGAAATAGCATATGCAACAAGAAAAACAAGGGTAACCGTAGTGATTTGCTGCCTCCCTCCGCTCCATCAACCGCTGCTCAGGAGGGATTCAGAGGAAACTGCTATCCAATGTAAGATCTTCTGGAACTGGAATTACCATTGTGAGCTGTCACATGGTGCTGCCAATCGGCATGTTTTAGTTCATCTGTCATCCCAGATTTTATTTGCTTGTGTTTTGAGACAGGGTCCTGTCTGACATGGAACTTGCGTTGTAGACCAGGCCTGCCTCTGCCTTCCAAGTGCCATGTGCCAGAGTTTGAGGCCAGCCTGATATCCAGGACAGCCAGGGTTACAGAGCTTTGTGAAACCATGTCTCACAAAACAAAACCGGCGTGTGCCACCATGACTGATGTCTGTAGAGCTTGTGTTCACATAATTTTGATTTTAAGTGAAGCCTGTGTATGTGAAACAGAAGAAATGGAAGTGTCTGGGGTCACAGAGATGAGAATGGGTCAGGAGAAGCAAGGAAAAGGAGAGGGTCTGCTAAACATAGAATATACCCGCACAAAAACTTTAAAAGGGAAATACAGAAGTCCCGTGTAGAGGATTTATGCAGTGAGCAAAACAGGCGACTGGAGGTGACCACGAGTCAGCTCAGCGTGTGCGTGTAAATGGTGCTCATGGCTCTTCATGGATGCATGTTCTGAAGTGGCAGCGTTAGTGTCACTGGATAGTAGACACTTTGGCTCTTTGGCATAAGTTGTCCCTGGCAGCTTCTACAAAAGCAATCATTACCAAGGTGACCGGGCACCAAGAAATAGATGCTCTAATTGTAACTATTTAACCTGACAGTGTGACTAAAGCCTCTAACAAGACAAAAGAGGAAAACCAGATGTAAGTGTGCACATCTGTAATTCCAGCACTTGAGAGGCAAAGGCAGGAGGATTAGAAATCCTAGGTCACCCAAGGCTACACTGAGAGTTGACAGCCATCCTGGGTTATATTAGAGCCTGAATTTAAAAAAAAAAAAAAAAAAAAAAAAAAAGTTGTTGCAAACCGCATTACAGGAATTCAGTCACAGGGTGAGCCTCTTCACTAGCCCAGCAAGCAGGAGTCCAAGGAGAGTTCAGGGGCTCTCTGATTTGGCATAGTTTATTACAATTAGTATACACACAAAATCATGTAAACTCCATTAAGTAAATGGTTTATCCTCCACTATCACCAAACAGTCTGCCACGATCTTTCAGCACCCTATTTTAACACAGAACTGATAGAAAATGACAATCACACAAATAGGGTTACGATTTTTAAAGGAAGGATTGTGTTTTTGTTTTTTGGTCCATATTTTCTATTAACAAACAAGACACATACTTTTTCCTCTTTGGCAAGAGGTTACATCCCCCAGCTAATTCACAAAGAAAACCCAGGGGAAACACACGGAACATGAGGTACAGCCGAGCCCTGGGCTACTCTATGAGTATAATCACATATTTAGGAGGACACAGCTGTTTACACCGCTGGCTCAGCTACCAGCTCTCCACTGGAAAAGCTATGCTTTAGACACACGGAAGAACACATTTCAAATAACCCTGGCTTGTTTCCCAGGGATAATATAAGTCGCCGACGCACACTATTTGTGGAGAACGTGGTGAGAAGCAGGCCTTCTGAACTCAGCTTCGCTTGTAATCTGAGGCTTAGAACTACGGGACTGTGCCTCCCCCCACCCCCAGCTACAATTGCTCTGCTACCCTTCATTACACTTTGTGGAGGGAAAGCGTGGATTGCCTTGATCTCAGCACCCTGGAAGGGCAGATTTGCTTGCGAACACTGTGCAATAAGGCCAGGCCCTCTCCTTAGAGAACGAGGTCCCTCGAGGTGCAGCTGGGTCCCACACAGGCCCAGGACACTGGGCTGCCCTCATGCTCAAGGGCAGCGGCTGCTGAGGTGTGTGCTTGTTTGCATATTCCACTGCCAAGAGAGCTAACGTCACCTGCCCCGTGCGCTTTTCATATTTCAAGTAATTTCATTAGTTTATCAAAAAGGAAATGAGCCACCACAACCAGATTGGTTTTTTGTTGTTGTTGTTGTTTTGTTTTTTAAACAGACCTGCTGCTAACAGTGTCAGATAAACATAAACACTGAGAAACACGAAGACATCCTACCACATCTCTGCAAGTCCCACGTTTTCTGCTTAAACCCTGTGTAGAAAACAAGCATCACAACTTCCTTACTTTAGTTCATGTTAAATACGACTGTACAAATTGCACATTTTACAGCACAACATCACAGTTAGCAACGAGAAAAGTCTCCTTGTTCTAGCACGAGGGAAACCAAGCGGCTCTGCAGAAGGGTCGGGTAGGAACAAAGCCCGCTGCACAGTTCTGTAAACAGTAAGTGAGGTTGTCTCTAGGATCCTGAAGAGTCACACACCCAGGCGCACCTCTTCCAGTGACTCGCGCAGCCGCAGAGCACGCTCAGTACCACAGCAGGTTTCTTTCACATTGAGTTCACAAGAGAGCAGGCATGGCCATCTGGTTGAGGGGTGCAAGGCCGTTTCTGGGTGCTGAATAACCATCGTCCACCCCAGGAGTCATTTGCACTTGAGGGGAGGGGTCTCTGCTGTCCAAGAAGCTACTGGCGGCAGGCTTGTCATAGCCACCACCCACAGGCTTGGGGCTCGCTGGCCTCTGATAGCCTTGGCTCTGGGTGGCCCCTGCAGCAAGGGGATACCCTCCGGAGGAAAGGGAGTGTTTGTGAGAGGGCCTGGGCCCGGGGACCCGGTAGCCGTCCTGCGTGGAGAAGGTGTGCGCTCGCAGCAGGTGCCGCTCCACGATGGGTGTGGCGTACTCCGGTTCCGAGTGAGTCAAGGGCAATGCATACTCATGGCGGCCCAGGCGGTGAGGACAGTCATAGTGGCCACCGGCCTCAGTGTTCACCTTGGCCTCCTCGGTGTCTGTGTCCATGGGCCGGAAGGTAGAGCCCTTTCTCGTGACTGTTCCGGTGCCAATCATGAGAGGCTGATGATAATCTGCAACCAAAGGAGCATCCTGAGTGCACCAGCCAGCAGTGGGGGGCGAGTCAGCAGGTCGCTGAGGGTACCTTCCCCCCAAGAAACTCTCCACTGGGTCACTAAAGCGTCTGAGGTTCCACGGGAAGTTGGAAATGCAAGTCAGACGCTGCGGCTGGAGCAGCGTAAGCCACCACACTGCCTGTTTCAGGAAGCCGCAAAGGCCACTGAACCTCAGACACAGGAGACAGTCGTTGGGTTATGGGGAAAATGTTACGTATTTATAGACAGGGTCTTGTTATGTAACCCCGACTAGACTTGACCTTGTGATCCTCTTGCCTCAGCCTCTGGTGTGCAACTTCATGCCCAGTTTAAGGGTGACTTTTACTTATTTATTTGAGGAGGGGGGGTCTCATGTAGTCCAGGTTAGCTTTTTAATTTGTTACACAGCAGAAGACAACCTTGAACTCAAGCTCCTGGGATACCTACCAGATGCTGGCATTATAGGTGTTGGCCACTGAGCCCAATGACTTCCAAACTGGCCTTTGTAAAGTTTGGGGGTGCAGATAACACCCACCACCACCAAAAAGAGTATGACGCCACTCTGTGACAGCTTAACTACATCTACTACTAGTAAAATCCAAATGGCTGCGCACACCTCGGAGGGTTTCTTTTTTCTTAATTAAATGAAATCATTTAAAGTATGAAGAGCCACTTTAATCTGGATCTCTGAGGTGGGCCACACCTTCTGCTGGCAGCCTTCATAAAGGACATGGAAGAAGGGAATTTGGCTCTCTCTTTGCCTGCTTGCTCTCAATAGCAAGGCCACTCCGCTGGCATTAGAGCTTACTTCTTTGGGATTCTGGAGCATACTGACAGCCAGCGGAGACAGCCACCCTCATGGACTCAACAACTGCCTGACTCTTGGCCTTTCCATTGGTAGACAGCCATTGCTGGACTAGCTGGACCACAGCCAGTAAGCCATTGTAATAAGTCCCTTTCCCACACACGCACGCACACGGGGGGGGGGGGGGGCTTATTCTATAGGCTCCGTTATTCTAGAGAACCCTAATACGGAGAAGGAATAACTATGAAGACAGTTCGATGTGGCAAGAGAATGAAGGGACATGGGAGCGAGAGGTAAGCAATAGATCTGGGCCCAGTGATGAGTGTCCAGACAATGAAAGAACCAAGACTCCTCTAAGACAGTGAAATAATTCGAGTCGTTTTAGAGCTGAGGCAGGACCGTCATCACATCACAACAGGAAAAGAGCAGCGGAAGACCAAATAACCTCTCAACTCACATAGTAATCAGCAACCAGGGCAGGAGTTGAAGCTGTTCCTAGCATGGGCGTTAATTGTCTGTCAGATCATGGGGGCTGCGGAAGTCTCACTCAGAACCCACACACTAGCAGTCTAAGGCCGCTCTGAGGGCAAACTGAAGGAGATTAACGGTGAAGAAATCAAAGAGAGGAAACAGACACTGACCATTGTGACTGACAGGTCCCTTCATGTATCCTCCATCGGCTCAGAGGCCGGAGAGATGAATTCATTCATCATTCAGTCAGTCTTCCCTGCTCCTCTTTCCCAGAGCAGCGCTGCCGACCTTTAACCATGTGTGTTATTATGAGCCCTGCGGGTGTACTCAACTCAGGTGAAGGGACTATTAACCAACATCCTAGTGTCGGCTTGAAACTCTGTGCGGAGTACAGGAAAATAAAGGCACACGTCTGCTCTATTAAAGGGTCTTAGCCTTAGCACTGTCCTGTTTCCTGTCCCACAAGCACGGGTCCCGGGTAGGACACTCACCTGCCACATCACTAGTGATAAGATCCAACGTTTGTGTCACCTCCTTTTCATTGTCGTAGCTGATGGTAAATTCGTTCGATTGACGCCTAGCAAAGGGATATTTAATCTGCTTCCAGCAGCCTGAAATAAGGAGAATATGAAACGATACATCACATGTAATTCACATTTATGTATTCTTCCACGTGTCAGAAGCCAGCCTCTTGCATAAACCCATAGCCAGAGCTCTTCAGTTGTGTGGACTGGGCACAGCATGAGGCAAATCCTTCAATATATACATTACCCACTCATGGTATGTTTATTTATTTAGTTTTTGAAATAGGGTCTCTTTACATAGCCCTGGCTGTCCTGGAACTCATTATGCAGACCAGGTTTGAACTCACAGAGATCCGCCTGATCCTGTCTCCTGAGTGCCAGGGTTAAAGATGTGCACCGCCAGTCTTCCACTGATGGTGTTAATTCTAGCATCCACATGCTACCCTCCTGTGATGGTCAACTTGACAGTCTCTAGACTCACCTGGAAAATGGGCATCTGGTAGGGGAATTATCGTGACTGTATTAACTGAGGTGGAAATACCCACCCAACATGATGGGACCGTTCCCTGCCTGGGATCCTGAACTGTAAATGGACAGGGGGAGCTGGGTAGCAGCTTGTTTTCCCATTGTGGATGCAATGTCACCAGTTTGCTTTAAGTTTTTGCTATGCTATCTCTACTTCCCACCACAAGGTACTGTATCAACTCCTCTTCCTTAAATTGCTTTTTTCATTTATCACAGCAACAGGGAAAGAAACTAAAACAGTACTGTTTAGTCACTTTATGATGCATGTAAAGCAAAATGGCCATTCTATTTCAGAATATTTTAACTGTCCTATTCTGTTACTATTTAGTTGTTTGTTAATCTCTCCCTGTCTAACATATAAACTTTATCAGAACTATGCATGTAAAAATCTTGCTCTATATATTTAGTTTTATCTACATTTTTGAGCAACTAGTGTGTCTTGGAACATGTTGACCATAGACACATCACAGATAAAGGGGCTTACTGGGCACAGAACCCAAGACCTTGCTAGGCAAGTGTCCTCCGACTTGCCTACAAATGCCCTGCACTCACAGACCCTGCCCCTGCCCCTTTCCTTAAAGACAGAATAAAACTGTAGATAGAGTTTCAAACCAACCTGTTTTCTGAGCCTCTGCTGATACATACGGATTTCCTTTTTTCTTCCTTCTGTTAAGACAAAAGGTTCTACTAAGTATTCATAAGCCAACTGGTCTACCTTGTCTAATCATATAATATAAATGTCAGAATAGTATTCACTTCATAGGTTATTCTGAAGACAGAATGAGCTAGAAGCTGTCATATGCTTACAAAGACATATATATGTGTGTGTGTGTGTGTGTGTGTGTGTGTGTGTGTACACATATATATGATCAGATGTAAATATCTTATAATTAAGCTCACAATATTTTTCACTGAAAGAACGTATTATTGATATATTATATATGTACAAATATTATTTTTCTCGATGGCTCATTGAGGAAACCATTAAAATCCTTAAGTAATTTGTAATGATCACTTTTACATAATATTTTCTATTATGTATAAATTATAGGTGCCTTTAAAGGCTGTACTCATGTGGAAAGCCTTTATCAAAGATTTCCATGTGATGAGACTGCTTAGAAAGTATCATTGGGTATTTCTATGCCAACATCTGCACTCAACTTATTTTTAAAATATAAACTAACATTTCACCTCTAAAGAAGTCATGCTGTTTCTTTAACACACATCTATCAGAGGCGTAAATTTTTGGGGTTTATGAATGTATTAGGATTATCAACATCTTGGGATTTAGACTTGACAAAGAAAAACACCTCTAGGTTTGTCTATGAGCCCAGAAAGGTTTCATTGAGATAGGAAGATCCACCCTAGTTGGGGATGGTACCATTCCATGAGCTGGGTTCTCAGACTAAATGAAAAGAAGAGCTGAATATCAGCATTCATCTCTGCAGATGTGATGTGACCAGCTATTTCACACTCTTGCTATCGTGCCTTCCCCAACCTGTGAGCCAAAACAAACCCCTTCCCTAAATTACCTTTGTCAGAGTGATGAGAAAAATTAGCCAATAAACTGTTATATATATGATTAGAGAAAAAAATGAAAAGGTGTAAATCCACATACTTCCTGAAGACGGCAAAGACCCCCATTCCAACCAGAAGGAGAGTGGTGAAGATCACTGCCGGAATAACCACGGTTGTAATATTCATTCCTAGAGGACAAAGTCACCTCGTTACAACACAAATCACCTATAAGCAAACTCAGGATCTAAACTGCTTCAGAGCTGGGCGCAGTGGTGCACAACTCTACTCCCAGGACTCGGGAGGCAGAGGCGGGAGGGTCTATGTGAGCTTCAGGCCAGCCAAGGATAAACACCAAAATAAAGCTCGATAAGCAAAACCGCTTTCTGCGGAGGGAAAAAGACTATGCTCTGCCTTTATAGCGCTACAAAGGAAGCAGGAGACAGATGAAGTGAGGAAGCTCTCATATCTAGTGTCCACAGCTTGGGGCAGGGTCGACAGGTAACTGTTACCCAGCCTGGAGCAGCCAAGGGCTCTCACTGTCAGAGCTGTGGCACTTTCTCTGAAGAGAAAATGTGGCCTGATGTCCACAAGCAGCATTTTACTCTGCTACTGAAAACTCCTTGTCCCTCGACTGCTCTTCCTGTCCCTCAAATGAAGAAGTGCTCCTGGCTGTGGAAACTGTAAACAAATGGAGGATTTCACTCTGCTCCTTTCTTTGTGAGCCTTGGGGAGAAAAAACAGAGGTGCTGGGACCCTGGCAAGGTGATCCACTTTGATCCCAGCACGGGACAGGCAAAGGGAGGCAGGCAGATCTCTGAGATCAAGGCCAGCATGGTCTACATATCTGATTCCAGGCCATCTAAGGTTACACAGTGACAGCCTGTCTCAAAAAAAAAAAAAAAAAAAAAAAAAAAACCAACAACCAAAGCAGCAATGTATAGTTCATGAACAAGAGCTAAAAAAAAATCCTAGATGAACATAAAATGCAGGTGTATCCCAGTGCTATTAACAACTTAAATACTGTGGAGGGGAAAGGCTAATTAATGGCATATCCACAAATAGTAATTTAGAAAATACTCATAATTCAAAGTTAAGTGAAAAGGAATAGTATAATATGCTACTGCTTATTACTATGTGAGTATACGTACGTTTACTGCTTATGACTATGTGTGGACATACATGTTTGCTGCTTATTACTGTGTGTGTGTACACATACGTTTATCACCCTTTGTTTTTTGTCTCTACCTTGAGGTAAGTCACATGCCTAGCAAAGGTCAGACCCAGCACTACTAAAGGAAAAAAAAGAAAATAAAACAAAAAGCAAAACAGAAAATTCTTGAGCTACATAACCTGTGGGCTTTGCATGACTAAATTCCCAGGAAGACTTCTGAACAATAATATCCTTACCTGTGGAGGTAAACAGAAAGCGCTTTTCTGACAGGGATCCACTGAAATAAAAAAAAAAAAATCACCAGAGGCAGGTGAGTTGTTTTGATAGATATTGGAACCGAGCACAGGGCGGCCCTGTAGGGTTCACACACCCACCACCACCCAAAGACTGAGGCTCACAATCCTGTCAGCTTGCTTGCTATCATTTTTTCCAGTGTGTTATGGATAAGCTAAGCCAGAAACCATCATAAGTTAAAAGAAATGGGTGACAAAGACCAGACTCTCAGACATGACCTTTCCTGATAGTATGGGCTAATTGAACAAAGTGCATTTCAACTGTGACATTCTCACACATGTACACAAGGTTACTAGGGTTGTATTTAATCCCTATCACCCTCCCTCCAAGCTCTCCATGGCGTCTCCAACCTTAAGTGTCATCTCTCCTGCTGGGTTTTTTATTACTGTGACAAACATCATGGCTGAAAGCATCTAGCCAGGGAACGGTTTTATTTCAGCTTATAACGCTTAGATCGCACTCCATCACCGAGGGAAGCCAAGGCAGGAACTCAAGACAGAAAGCTGCAGGCAAGAACTGAGGTGGAGACTTGAAGAAACACTCCTTCCTGGCTGGCTCAACAAAGGACCACCTGCCCAGGGGTGGCGCCACCCAGTACTCTGTGCACTTCCACATCAGTCATCCACCAAGAAATCACCCCAGTCCTGCCTACAAGCCAACTTGACAGAGGCAGTTCTTTAACTGGGGCCCCTCTCTCAGATCACCCCTGCTGTGTTACATAAAAACCCAACAGCCCATCCCCCTTCTGTTTTGTTGCTATTATCTTTAAGCTATTGTTCTGTAGCTCAGGCCTTCCTAGATGGCACAGTGATAGCCTAAACTAACCTGAAATCTGCCACAATCCTGCCCCAGGCTCCCTCATTCTGGTGTTAGAGATATGCACCACACCACACTGATATTATATTAATCTAGATTCTGCACAATTGCACAATGTGACGTTTATCTTCCCAGGTGTGTGTGTGTGTGTGTGTGTGTGTGTGTGTGTATGGCTGTTGTCAATTGGAGAGAATAAGAATAGAAAGGATAACTTTTGGACATGAAGATATGAGTCTGTGAGATGGCTTAGTTGATAATGGGCCCACTGAGTGATCCCTGAAATCCACTCTTCCTACAAGTATGTGACATGTATGTACACACACACAGAGACAGAATTTGCAAATGCAATAAGAAATTTTTACAGAAAGAGAAGACATGAGGGAAGGTTCTGCTAACGGCTCTGTGCCTGGCTTTCCTCCACTACCAGCTGGCCTCAAATGTGCATTTCACTCTATCAAACTAACTAAATGGGACAAGGTCACACTGAGGGTAGACAAACCTTCTCCTTAAAAACTACCACCCAGGGGAGGGCAGAGCTCTGATGAATTCCATCAAACGACAGGAATCAGAAGCCTCCCCCAGGGCTCCAGAGACAGAGTCTGGAACAAGGAAGGTCAACAGAAAGGAAAAGGCTTCCCCTTCTGATGCTCAGAGCCTTCCCTTTGGGATGAGGTCAGGTCCTCCTTCCTGATTCCATTCTGGTCTCCTGAAATGGAGGAAGTGGCCTGACCCCCGGATGAATCCCAGCAGAGCCTGGATATTTACAGCAGGGACCCCTTCCTCAATGCAGCACTTCCTTCTCTGTTTTTTTCCTGAACACCAAACACTCGTGTGTGGGAACAGAAGTTCAACGACCGAATGTACGGTGCCTCCCCAAGGGCAAAACATCACAGACAAAAACAGCTGCTCCCTGAAGATTTGGGATCTAAACAAATAGAGGAGACTGGCTTAACATACAGTGGACTCCCTGCTCAGAACAAAGATCAGGGAGAAATCTCAAGAGCTAGGAGGAAGTACAGCCCTTGGTATAATTTCGGACTTTCTACTCTCACCAAAACAAAACAAGACAATTTGTTCAAATATCTACCAGATATACCCCCAACTTCCTACAAGCTGCTAGTCTATACATGCCAAAGATGTACATAACTCTAATTCTAGGTGATTCGATGACTTCTGACCTCTTTGAGCACGAGACATGCACATATCGAATATATATGCACAAAACAATCATACACATAAAAAGAAACCAGATTTTAAAAACCTTAAGTACGTATAGTGTATGTATTGGCTGGGTGTCGTGGTGCACACCTTTGGTCTCATTACTCAGGAGGAAAAGGCAAAGAGATCTTACTGACTCTGAAGCCAGCCTGGTCTACACAACAAGTTCCAAACTGGCTGGGGCTATGCAGGTATGCAGGAAAACTGTCAAAAAGGGAAAAAAAAAAGAAAAAAAAAAAAAAAAAGCAGAAAAGAAAAGGTGTATATGCAGAGCATGGTAGTACATGCCTGTGATCCCAAATCTTGGCAAGAGAAAACAGAATTCAAGAGCAGTCTGGCTAAGGGCAAGCTGCAGGCTAGCCTGGGCTGAGACCCTTTCTTGAAACAAAACAAAAAACAAAAAACAAAAAACAAAAAAAAAAAAAAAAAAAAAAAAAAAAGATTATGTATGAGAAAAGAACACTCAGAACTTCTCTCTGCATTGTTAAAATCCTACCAGGAAAAGGAGAGCGAACAGGACCTCACGGCGGTGAGGAGCACTGAGCCAAGCCTCTGCTGCTGCTGTGTGTAGCACACAGCCTGTCCTCAGTGGACAGTCCGTCATGGACCGCATCCAGCATGTTTTGCACGCTCTGTCAAAGTCTGAGGTCAGAATGCTCCCAACAGTATCCACCTCTACCCCAAGTGGGAAACTCTTTCTCCTCAGCCAGCAGGCAGCCATCATGTTGGCTACAAACATGGCAAGCCAACAGCCATCACCTCTCCTCTTTGGCATCTTTCCTCAGCCTTTGGCTCTGTTCCCGCCCAAGCTGGGCTCCTCCCTATTGCCATACCCATGACCGGCCTCTTCATAAAGGTCACATAACCAACTCCTCTCCTATACCCAGATGCTCCTTCCAAACCCCTCTCCCAAGAGCCTGGAAAAGGATTTTAGACCCAGTTTTTACTTGTAATTTCTGAAGCCTTTTTTTTTTTTTTCCTTCAAAAACTTAGGCTACGTTTTCCTGAAAAAGCAACCCATTCGGTTAGGATTTCTATTTGACCCAAACCTTTGTTAAACTGTATTTATGGACAGTCTCAAAATGACAGCAAGTCATCAAACCTAGACTTATTTGGGAGCATATCTATTACTGATAACGTGATCCCAGCATCCACATGGTGGCTTACAAGTATCTATAACTCTACTTCTAGGTGATTTAATGACTTCTGACCTTTTTAACTTCTACATGAAAATTACACTTATGCACGATGTCTAATTGCTACATGGGTAATTGACAGAATGAAACCTACTTTTAAAAAAAAATTTTTTTTTTCCCCTATGTATACAGTGTTCTATCTGCATGTTTTGCCTACATGCCAGAAGAGGGCACCAGATCTCATTATAGATGGTAGTGGGCCACCATGTGATTGCTGGAATTAAACTCAGGACTTCTGGAAGAGCAGTCACAATCCTGCCTCAACCTCCCACGTGCTGGGACATACATTCTAGCGAGATAGCCCGCACTCTTATGAGGGTTGTCTTATCAGGGTTCCTATTGCTGTGATGAAATACCATGACCAAAAAAGCAAGTTGGGGAAGAATGGGTTTATTTGGCTTACAATTCCATAACATAGTTCATCACTGAAGGCAGTCAGGACAGAAACGCAAGCATGGCTGGAAGCTGGAGGCAGGAGCTGATGATGCACAGCCATGGAGGGTGCTGCTTACTGGTTTGCTCAAACTTGCTTTCCAATAGAACCCAGGACCATCAGCCCAGGGATGGCTCCACCCACAATGGACTGGGCTCTCCCACAGCCAATCACTGATTAAGAAAATGAATCCCCAAAGGCTTGCCTACAGTGCTGTCTTATAGAGGCATTTTCTTAACCGAGGTTCCCAACACAAGGACGGGACAGTGAAATGCAGTCTTGAGCTTTCCATGTGCACAGGGCTCTGGGTTCGAACTTCAGCAACGAATAAACTGTAATCCCAGAACTGCAGCGGCAGCGGCAGAAGGATCAAAGTGTTCAAGGTTGGCAGAAAACAATAATTACCAAGGGGATAGGGTAACGTGGTAAAGCTAGAGGAAAAGAAAAAAGCACCAACTCTCTCCCACATGTAGCTGGGAGCGGAAGTCCTCCTCCACCCAGGGCTCAGGCCGTTGTAACTTACGTACTGACACAGGGAGCTCGCCTACTGCTACATTTATTTTCTACATAGCAGCCATAAATGCTGTGAAACTTTCGAATATCTTTAAAGATTTATTTTATAAGTGATGAATGAGAACAAGAAGTAAAGAGGAAAGGAAAGGGCATGACTGCTCCTAGGTGTGGTGAGGGAGAAGTTTATTGCTGATATCTGGGAGAGCATGGCCAGAGGCAGGGACTTCTGGGAGAGTCCAGAATGGAGGAGACCACACTGAGTTGGGCCACGTAGGGAGATGGGGAAGAGAAGGGAGGAGAGGGGACCAGGTGCCTCTGCCAGGAGGCCAAAGGTACAAAAGGGGAGGGTAACCAAAATGTCTGAATTATATAGGGAAGACCCTGCAGGGGAAGGACAGCCCGGCGCCTGGGCTGGAGAGTTCAGGGTAGAGGCTGGGGTACGCCAGAAATACCCTGTAACAGGTAGGGACTGAGGGATGCTGGGAGAACCTGGCAGCCAGCTCCAGCTTTGATAATGTTAAATAGGCATGTCAGCTATCTGCTTAATAGTATATGAGTGCTTTGCCTTAACGCGTGTGTGTGCACCACTTACATGCCTGGTACGTGAAGAAGTCAGAAGAGCTCATGAGACACCCTAGAAACGAAGCCACGCATAGTTGTGAGCTGCCAGTGTGGGAACTGAACTTTGGTCCTCTGGGAAAGCAACAAGTACTCTAAACTGCTGAGCCACCTCGCAGCCCCATCACAGACATTTTCACAGCTGACTACCGCTTGGCATCACATCCCACCGGCCTTTCTAAACCAGGAGCTGATTATTTACGGCCTCAGGGCTTTCTCCTCTAGGAGAACAAGCAGAGTACTTACTGTCGCGACAGCACACCGTTGGCCAGGGTCCCCTCATAGTGACTGATGCCTTTGCTCTGCAGCAGGTTGACGCGGCCACCTCGTTCGTCTGCGATGACCCCTGCGTGGATGGCAGCTTTGCACAGCAAAGAGGTCTGAAACAGAGTGACACCATCATTCAGCACTTGCTGAAGAACACATTCAAAACAAAGCTGGGGCTTTCTACTTTTGTTTGTTCCGGGTTTTTGTTTTGTTTGCTTCTTTGGAGACAGGGTCTAGCTCTTTGGACCAGATCTGCCTGCCTCTGCCTCTGCCTCTGCCTCGAGTGTTGGGATTGGAGGCACACCCACTGAGTTTTCTATTTTGCCTGCTTAGTCATTTACAGTAGTAGCCCTGGCCCCATGAATAATGTCTCTTCTGTGGTTGAGCACTTTTCCTAGCATGTACAAGGCCTAAGTTCAATTCCCAGTCCCATCTGCAAAAATAAACAAATGATAAATAAAGAAAAGATAATACGGGGCTGGAGAGATGGCTTAGCGATGGTTAAGAGCACTGCCTACGCTTCCAGAGGTCCTGAGATCAATTCCCAGTAACCACATGGTAGCTTATAATCATCTCTAGTGGGATTTGATGTCCTCTTCTGGCATAAAGGCATACATGCAGATAGATTACATGCAGATGGATGGCTCATACATAAAATAAGTAAATCTGCCCTAGGCAGTTCAGGGAGGGGAGGCAGGCATCTCTCCCTTGCCCATGCCACCGCAAGACATGAGTAATGGGCACAATCTCTTCCGTGCTCACAACTTCGGAACTGGCTCACCCACATCTCTGCCAACAGGGTCAGCTATATTGCACTGCCCAGGCGAGGTGCAGGGCCCGCTTTGCTGAGTGCTGCAGCTGGTAAGGGGGAGGGCACCCTTTCCCTGCCTCCACCACCACACGAGGGAGGTCCATGACCCTATCTACTGGGTCAAACTCTACCACGCTGCCCACGACAGGCGGCGGGCCCCGTCCTCCCAAGTGACGCAGCTGGTGAGAGGTGGCAGCTTACACTTTTTAAGCCCTCATTGTCTGCTTTCACTAAAAACACTTTCTGCATGGTACTGTATGCCTATAACCCCAGCATTTGGGAAGTAGAGGCGGGAAGGTCAAGAGTTCAAGGCCATATCTAGACCAAGGTCAGCCTGGGTTGCATACAACCCTGGGCAGCTAAGGATCACAACCCACGGGAGGAGGGCTTGCTCAGCACAACCCTGTCTGGACATCCTGGCCGGACTCTAACTGCATTCACTACATGTGCGGAAGTCGTTTCTCTGCTCTGGCTTTTCTTCCTAAATCAACCGGACAGCGACAAGGATAGACTGGATTATCTAGATTACGCGGTATCCACTCTGGATGCCTGCCACCTTCTGGCTCTACCCAGCGCACCCTTTGTAGGGCCCACACGGGCTTGTCTCTCTCCTGATGCTCTTAGATGGAAACAAGTTAGCGGAGGCCTCCCGGGCAGCCATTCCCTGGGCCTGCAGTGATTTCTCCCTCAGAATTATGCCTGGTGACTGATGAGCAGCTCAGGAGCTGTGTGTGCTCTCTACAGAGCTCCCAGTGACTGACAGAACAGAGGTCAACGAGCAATATCGCCCACCAGGGTAAATGGTCATGAAATATTCTGACTTCCCTCAAGAATGGAAGGGGTCCAATGGTACAGACACCTATGAAGGAAGAGTTTAACTACAGATACATTTCCTCACATTTAATGCAGGGCACAGGATAGACCTCTAGGGGACTAGTCACCAGATCTGCCCATGAAGTCATCATGGCTAAAATGACCAGTCTTTCCTACAATGATTTTCTTCTTAAAAACAAACAAACAAACAAAAACAGAATTCCTCATCTTACAATTTAAGCATAATTCATGCTTTGAATGCCCCATATCACTTTAAAAATTGACCTTCATTAAATCTAATTTTAAAAATGAGATAAATTTCACACCCAATCATGTGACTTTTTTCTATGTGCTTCATTATAGCTCCTATAATCTTCATTTTAGCATATCTGTAACATTTTTCTATGCAAAGTATATCCTGTAGAAATTTTAGGAACTATGAAAAGTTCTTCACATTGTCACTACATAGAAACACTTAGCATTATTCCATTTTCCCTAACAGTTTTTGGGCTGAGCATAGGCCCAGTTTCTCACTTTCTCTGCCTAATCCAGGAGTATACTTTTATTTTCTTATATTTCTTGAACATTCTTGATTTTTGAGACTTAATATATTACATACTTTCTGTAAGGATCCAGGCATTACGCTGGCCCGCCCGGTCACCTGGCAGAATGCACTCAGGCAGTGCCCTGGTCAGCCCAGGGGTCCATGAGTACCAGTCTGCAGGCAGATGCAAGGACAACAACACCCTGCTCTCTTGGCACTGAAAACAGACACAGGGTAGATGCCTACACCGTCAGACAATGAGACAAAACACAGGATCTTAAGAGCTCCAAAGGCCTTCGAAAGCCTTTCACATCAGCCTCAGAAGGTGTCCTCTGTTCCCAACCCACTGGAACCTTCACTTACATATTATCACCAACAAAATGCTTGTAACATCTACACACCATTCACTCTATGCTATCTAATTATTCCTTTAATGCAGCTGAAACTGGCATCTCTATGGTGGTTATCCATTGATAACCTTGCTTGCTGCTTTTTGGGTCACACAGAATGAATCAATACCTTTTCTATAATTATCCCTTCAAGACCACATATTCTCAATGAGATGTATAAACCCAGCACTTGAGAGATGGAGACAGGAAGACCAGGAGCTCAATCCCAGCCACGGATACATACAATTCAAGGTCAACCTGGGCTACCTGAGACCCTGTCACAAACAGACAGACAGACAAACTGACAGGCAAGCAACCCAAGTATACATTCTCCTTCAAGTCAGAATGCTTGCTACTTCAAAGGCTCCTCAGGCAATTAGTTTTCCAGACTCTGTTTTCTTGATGTACAGGATGCTTTGGTTTTACAAAGAACCTCCCCTCAAAAGTCTGCTTACACTGAATGCATTTCCTAAGAGGAAGCTGCCACACAGCAGACTCTTTTTAAAATCACCCCAGGATCTGCCTCCCGGTAATCCCCCTTGTGAAATGCTGAGTGTGTGTGGAAGCTCTGGTGTTTTTCTATTAATAACTCATAGGATGTGGCAGGGAGGTGGGGAGTCATCCCTTCTCACTGTATCCCATGCTACTAGGAGACACTTTTGCTAGCAGTTCTCCTTCGCTGGCTACAAGGAAGTGTGCAGCCATGGCAACAGCACCAGGTAAAATCCAAGAAAGCAAGGCCTTTGGTCCACCGGCCCTCAAGTACCCGGATGTGCCCAACACTGCAAGCTGAGAAGCCCACCTCTCAGGAGAGGGACTACAGCTCCAGTTGACACTTGAGCTATAGCCTTACATCATCCTGAAGCGGGAACCCAGAACCCTGCTCAGACTCCTAATCCACAGAAAATGGGAGACACAGGGCCAGCAAGGTGGCTCAGAGGATAAAAGTGCTTCCGGCAAACCTGACTTTGACGTCTGGATTCCATCATGGAAAGAATGAACACCCGAAACTGTCCTCTGACCTTCACATAGCAAACAACCACCTGCATGCACAGGACACACAAGACACACACAGACAGATACATGTGTATCTGGGGAAAAAAAAAAAAAGTGGGTGTGGAGGTGCATGTCTCTGATTCCAGCACTTGGGATGCAGAGGCAGGCAGATCACTGAGTTCGAGGCCATCCTGGTCTACAGAGCAAGTTCCAGGACAGCCAGGGCCATACAGTGAAACCCTTTCTTGAAAAACCAAAACCAAAGCAAAAGCAAATGATACAAAACAGTTGTTGAGTAACAGGGAGCCTGAATGCTAACACCTGCAGATAAGTACTCAGATCTAACAAGAAGGAGGACTGCCCTCCCAATGTCCCCCAACACACACACCACATACACACAACAACGCATACACACCACACACACACAGATCACACACATCACAAGCACACACCACACACACACACAATCACAAACACACACCACACACACACACCACATACACACAACACACACACACAGAGCACACACATCACAAGCACGCATACGTCACACACACACACACATCACAAACACACACACCACACACACAAACACACACATAGACAAATAAAAAACAAAAAAAACAAAAACAAAAACAGGAAAACAAAAACTTTCCCTTCAGTGGGAAGAAACTCTCCTTTAACATCTGACTTCCCCTAGTTCATTTTTCCTTTCCTGGAATCATTTAGGAATAGCTCTGCTAGTAAATATTCAAAACAAAGAGGTGTAGATCACAAGAAGAGTCAAAATTAGGTGTCCCACATGCAGGGGGGGGGGGGGAGGAAGAAAGAAAAAATCCCAAAGGCCAGATGAATTTCCTGTGTTCAATTTATAAACAAAAGCAATACAGGAAGGAGGAAACAAAAAGCAAAATTACACCATGATCTATTTCAAAATCAGGATGTGCTAAAATAAAAAAAAACTAAAATAATAATAATAATAATAAAAATGAAGCCTGCGACAAAATTAAAGTCCTGATTTTTTTTTTTTTTTTTTCTCCCGCCAGGTGGCTTTTCTGTCTCTGCAGTGCGGGCAAGAGATACTCACTTCTCTGTGCACCAGGACACATCAGTAATGGCTTTCCAACACTACACAGACTTTCCACATTCTAAATAAGCCAGCTTTCAACAGTGAAGGGTAAGTGCAACTATTTTAAAGAGTAGCATAAGCTGGGAGAGGCTTTGTGTGTGTGTGTGTGTGTCAGGGGACTGCCAGGAAACCTGTAAGTAGAAATAAATGGTGGGTTGTGTATTAGAAGATAGGACATATTAGAAAAAAGAAGTTTCTGAGATTTATTTTTGTTTGGGAACAATATATATATATATATGTATACATATATATATATATATATATATATATATATATATAAAATCCCGAGAGTCCTCCTAGACATAAAAATGCAGAGGGTGGTCATCAGTAGCAAATTAGATTAGGACAGATGGCTTTTTACTGTGTGATGTGACCCATCATGACAATGGCTCTAAGTATAGAAGCAATTGGAGTTACTACAAAACTAGCAAGATGACTCGGGGTCAACGGTGCTTGTCATCTCATGATGCAGGCCTGACAGTCCCACTACACAGAATTGTTCATTGACCTCCATGTGTACCATGGCACATACACCTACATATGTACCACACACACACACACACACACACACACACACACACACACACACACACACGGGAGGACGAACCCTGAGTTCAAGAGAGGGAAGGGGGAAGAGCCAGAATATGAGTGTTTAAGTATATAAATCTATGGCTTTTGTAGGAACAGGACAGGTGTCTGGATCGCAAGGCTCACATGCTAAGAGCTAACGCCCAGCCTATGGCATGATTAGCATGGCCTTGGGAGGAGAAATTAAGTCATCAAGAAAGGACCACTGGCGGGGCCGATGGAATGCCCCCTTTGCCTCCCTCCGCTTCCAATCCATCCTCAGGCGAGCAGCTGTTCTATCTACCACACGCCCCCCCCCCATACCTCTTTATCTCAGACTTCCCCTAGGAGTACTGCAAGCAGGCTGCACTGACACCACCAACAATTCGAGAGGGAAACAAACCTTCACACGCTTAACACACATTTATCTCAGGTATTCATTACAGTAACAGAAAGCTGACCAGTACAACGGCGTGAACTTCTTAGGTGTTAAAATATATTTGTTCTTCATTTCACTCTATTTCTTTTAGCAGGAAATAAGAATGAGGGCATAGACTACTTTGGTTTGAAAATTAATGCACTTCACACCGTCTCTTAATAAAGCGAATTGTGCACCTGTGCAGATTTCTATATCCCGTCTCGTTTGATTTTGGAATCAATTCAGGCAGAGCCACCAACATTGACTCCTTCGGTGTCACCTTTAATCACTTACATCTCTGTAGCCGTCTTTCATATTCCCAGAAATATCTCCTGCTATTTCTCTACAACCAGCTGGGCAGAATTTGCTGGGGGGGAAAAAAGAATTTATATTTTATCAAATACTGAAACCAAAGAAATGCATTAAACTAAACTTCAGGTTTCCCCCTCTTTCATAACATAGACAGCAATATCTTTCTTCAAAGACAAACAAGAAACCTAATTTGTAAAAACACAAACTGCTCTGGAGATAAGCTTTACACATGGTTTCTTGCTTTCTATAAGGATTCATCACTGGTAAAGTATTAAGGCAGCTCCTTAATGTGGCTTGATTCTAAGATGCCTAAGAAATACTTCTAAGGTAAAAGGAAAATTCACCTATATAATTTAACCCTATTCTTATTAAAAGAAATGTTTGAAATACACAGCATTTTATGTTTGGATGAATAAAAAGAAGGCAAACAGCAATACTCCTAAGCAGCATTTTGGTGTTCATACTCTACAACAGCCTAAACTATACTCCTCTGCATAAACACAATGGAAGCCAGATGTGTAGATATAAATATTCTAGTAGCTGTATTACAAAAGTAAAAAGAAACAGAGAAAATTAATAATATACATTTAACACAATATATCTAAATTCTGTTAATTTTCACGTCACAAAAAACAAGAATCAAGGAGATAACTTAACTTTGGTTTTTCTTAGTATTGGGGATTTTTTATACCTGCAGTAGAAATACACAGTCACCAGGGCTACTGTAACAGATACTACTATTCTGTGTTAATAATAAATTACCTTTACAATTAAAGTGGCCTATTTTAAACGTACGGTTCATTCAGTCATCATCATACAAGTCTGTAATCCCAAACAATCCAAAGGCTGAGATGATGGGACCACATGCTTAATTAAGAACAGGTTTTACCCACAAGTGTGTGTATACACATACACAATAGATAGTAATAAAACAGGGATCAATTTACTTAACAGTCATCATTCAAGGAACTTTCTGGGAACACATCATAGTACACAGGCTATTGTAGCTGGAGAGTCTCAATGCTAGTGGCTGTTGACTTGAGTCAGCCTCTACTTAGCTAGCTGACCCTGAACACTGCTATATCATCTCTTGGGCTCAGTCTCTTTATTCCCAGCTTCTTGAAGCATCAAGGACAATTACATCTTTGAAACATACAACAGACACAGACACACACACACAGGCATAAAAACACTGACACTTTGAAGATGAATACCAAATGCCCATTTCTATATATACTACTCGGCCTTCTTTCTTTCTTTCCTTCCTTCCTTCTTTCCTTCCTTTCTTCCTTCCTTCTTTCCTTCCTTTGAGATTATAATATAATCACACCATCATTTCCTCCTTCCTTCCCTTCCTTCCAAGCTTCCTATATGCCTCTCCTTGATCTCTTTCAAATTCCTGGCCTCTTTTTTCATTAATCGTTATTACTTATATGTATAAACATATATTCCTAAACCCAACCTGCTTGGCCTCTACAATGTTACTTGTATGTACGTTTTCAGGGTTGACCATTTGGTACTATACAAGCAATTGTTGCTCTTAGCATTCCTTAGTTACTTATAGTCTTTGTGTAGAGTCTGAGGCTTCTTTACTCCACTTAAAAACTGACAGATTTCAAAATAGCAGCTGTTTCTTTTTATTTCCTTTCCTTTCACTTTCCTTTTGCTGATTAGAAACTCAGACTGTAATGACAACTAATTATTGAATGACTCAAACATTTCATAGTTGTTTCCTAGTGGCTTGCATGGCAGTAGGAATCAAGGAATTGAGAAATACAAACAACCTCCTGCAGGTCCACAGGTCCTTGAGAGACAAATTGCTTAGTGCCAGATAACCCTCTGAATTCAGAATGCTCGGGATGCTGCCCATAGTATAAGACCCCCACGGAGCCCACATGCTAATCAAAAGCAGTAAAAGCTCATAAGGAACGCAGGGATAGCAATAGTACAAAGCAGAAAGACTAAATAGCCTCATGCTAATGTAGTCTAATTTTGCTGTCAAATGAATTGACAATCAAATGAGTAACAAAGGCCTTCTAAAGCTTTCCATGTTCCAGAATTATGGGTAAGGGGCCTGTAGTAGTGGCCATCCTTAAGCAATGAAAAATGACTGGCCTAAAGTGGAATCATTCTGTCATCATAATGCCACATTGTATGCTTGAATATATTCTCCTGTGATGCCCAGCGCCCTGATTATGTGTGGTTGCTAAAACATTAAAGGCCATTAGCCTCCGTATACATGGGTTAAACGATAACCTTACAAGTCAATATATAGTTTTTTAAACTATGATTTCTCGTGCTTCTCTGGCACACTTAATATTAGCTAATACTGGAATTGATTCTGCATATCAAATACCTACACTAAGAATGTCCACATTTGTAAGATAGTTAAGAGCACAGGCTCTCAGTGTAGTTACTTACGCGGATGGTGCAGAGAGATGCACTGGCCACTAAAGAGAACTCTAAACTTACAGTTTTGTTGTTGGCAGTGACTTTTAGAGAGCAATTATCAGCTGTCCCCCAGAAGACACAGGTCATTGTCTAAAGCCACTCTTGGTTGCCACAATTGGCATGTGGACAGTTAAATTCAAAGAATTAGGGCATTCAACAATGCCTAGGACAGTCCTACACAAGGATCACAGGAAGAGCATGCCCATAGCTGGGAGCTAGGAGTTGCCTCTGGGCCATTTTACTTCATTGATGGCTGGGGAGTAAATACGGATCGGAGATAATATATCTGTACTTAGTAAAGCTGAGCTACAACCCGTCTCTTTAGCCTCTATAGGCTTTAGGATAAAAGGCAAAGCCCCCATAAAGAATCATACAACGGGGAGTGGGAGGAAAGGAGGGAGAGGGAACTAGAATTGGAATGTGAAAAATAAATTAATGAGAGAGAGAGAGAGAGAGAGAGAGAGAATTATACAACTCATTTCCACATACTAGCCAGGGAAACAGTAGACTCCAGACTCAAACTGTGAGTCTGGCTCCTTGGTAATACAGCAGAACTTAGGGATGGGCAAACTATGGACCAAGTCTGAAATATAACTTGCTTCTGTGTGTGTGTGTGTGTGTGTGTGTGTGTGTGTGTGTGTGTGTGTCCACGCGCATGTGCACACTAGCATGCACACTCTCATTGTGCTTCATACAGCCCAGGTTCACCACTGAACTTCTAGGACAACACAGGTATGAACCACATTCATTCCAAGCCATATCCCCACATTGCTGCTTTTTTTTTTTTTTTAATCTTACATTATGTGTACCTACTAGTATTTTTGAATAGGTATTAATCTGTGAGGACAGGTGCCCAAAGAGGTCAAAAGAGAGCATTGATCTCTTGCACCTAGAATTACAGGTAGCTGTGAGCTTCCTGATGAGGGAATGGGAACCAAATTCAGTCTTGTGCAAGACCAGTGTATACTCCGAAATGCTGAGCCATCTCTCCAGCCTGGGCTTGTTCTTATAAATAAAACTTTATTATAATGCCAGTGTATTTATTTCCATCATCTACCTTGGCTTTTTTCCTTCAACAGCAACAGAGATTACATGAGTCAGTGCAAAGGAAACTCTTGGCCTACAAAACCTCTATTTACAGTACAGCTCTAGACACAAGGCTTGCAGACTCTGCCTTTTGGGAACATCTCTCAAATACTCCTATACTGCTATGCACGAATAATTCAGGACACATACTTACCTGTATTTTTCCTCCGAATAATGATTGCCTCGGTCCAAACAAGTTATTAAATCTATTAAAAATAGAGAGAAGTACAATTAGCAGTGATTAGAAACAACCACCTGTTTCTAAATATTTCATTAGAGATAAAGAAAGTAAACTTTGAAAGCATTATCATGCTATTTGAGTTTTTCTAAAAATAAGTAAAATCTGTGGTTACAGTCTCCAGTGTTTAATCTGTTTCTTTTTCCTCTCCTGCCACTGATGGTGACTTTCCAGGGCTACTGTCTAGAGAACAGTAACAGCATCTACTTCTAACAGTAACTACTGGACATCTGCAGGTGGCATGTACACAATATCCCTGCCAGGAGGAAACCATTAAAGAATAAATAAATTGCAATCCATGGAAAAATCCCCAGAAAGATTTTCTTTCTCATTTGTTTGTTTGTTTATTGAGACAGGGTCTGAGGTAGCCCAGGTCTCAAAGTTACTACATAGCTGAAGATGACCTTGACCTGTGATGGTGGTTTGAAAGAAAATGGTCCCCAAATGGAGTGGCACTATTAGGAGGCGTGGCCTTGGAGGAAGTGTGTCTCTGTGGAGGCGGGCTTTGAGGGCTCATATATGTTTAGGCCATGCCCAGTGGTTCAGATCACTTCCTGCTGCCTTCACAAGATGTAGAGCTCTCAGCTGCCTCTCCAGCACCATGTCTGCCTGCACATTGCCATGTCCCTCCATGACGATAATGAACTAAACCCCTGAAACTGTAAGGCGAGTTGGTCATGGTGTCTCCTCACAGCAATAGAAACCCTAACCAAGACATATGTTTAGGAACCTTCACCTCGCCTTCCCGAATGCTGGGCTTACAGGTATGTGCCACCAGGATTGGATTTATGTGGTGCTAGAGTTAGAACCCAGGCTCCACACATGCTAGACAAGCAAGCACTCCCCCGATGGAGTGGCATTCAGTCACACAGAAACAAAAGTTTCCAAGAACACGGATATGGTGATGAACAATCTTCTGACTTTCTTCTTTTCTTCTGGTTTTTCAAGGCAGTGTTTCTCTATGTAGCCTTGGCTGCCCTCAAACTCGTAGAGATCTGCCTGCCTCTGACTCTTGAGAACTGAGACTAAAGGCATGTGTTAGCTAGAGTCAATAACCTTGATCAACAATCAGAAGCAAGCACATGAAACGAAAGGTGTATTTTTGTTGTTGTTTTGTTTTGTTTTATCAAGGCGGGGTTTCTCTGTTTTGGAACCTGTCCCGAACTAGCTCTGTAGACCAGGCTGGCCTCAAACTCAGAGATCTGCCTGCCTCTGCCTCCCAAATGCTGGAACTAAGGGCGTGTGCCACTAATGCTTGGCTAAATGGAAAGTTCTTACAGGGGAACATTAAACCAGCAAAATAGACCCCCCAAATATCTCATATTCTTGGCAATAGGTTCTTTCTCTTCAGGAACCTTTTGAGAATCTTAAGGGACAACACATGGTAACCACTGGCCAGGATGGCCAATCACACCTAATCCGCTCTGAAGGAAATGAATGGCACATCCCCTTCCAGACATATTTCTGTCGGGGGGGGGGGGAGAGCATAGCAGGAACACTGGGAATACTGTGACCCTGGATAGCAATGGAGTGGGCTACATGGTGCTGACCCTGCGCCATATGAGGCCAAGGAAGGAGCCAATGCTTTCCTCCATCACATTCTCTTCCCTTCTCTTCCACCCATGGTTGGGTTAGTCATGTGACAGGGACTTCTTGTCCTGCTACTATTGTGTCTCCAAGCTGGCATGCTAGTGCGTGGCAGAGGTAAGGATCGATAGTTAAAATGTTTGCTTCCTGAGCAAGAAAGGAACCTGGAACCAGACCATAGCGGGGTCAGGGAAATTTCCCTAAGGATGTGTCAATCAAGGTTTATAGGAAACAAGATTTAGTCTATCCCACATGACTCATCGGATCCACTGACCACATGCTCTACAATGACTCAGTACAGGACCCACTACTTACAAAGAAGCCGTTCCACTATGTCCTCAAGATGGGGTTTTACTACATATGTTGGGAACCAGCAGTTTGCTGACCCCGCCTCCTGATGATGGGCTGGACACTCATGGCCATGTCTTCTCTACCTCATGGCTTACCTGGCTGCTCAAGCTTTACCTGGCTGCCAGGGGACTCAGTTACGCATGAGCAAGTTTCCCTTTTAAAGCAAGCACGCCAAGTGTGCCCCTCTTGTTCTTTCTCTTCCTTCTCTCTCTCTCTCTCTCTCTCTCTCTCTCTCTCTCTCTCTCTCTCTCTCTCTCCTGCTTTCGGTTGGCCCCTTTTCTCTCCCCTCTCTCAATAAACTCCACGTGGGCACTGAGTCTCGTGTTTGTGTTTCATAGGCGATAATTATATCAAAAGAACCAACAGCATAGCCTTGGCTGGTCTGAAACTCACACGCAGACCTGACCGGCCTTGAAATCACAGATACCAGCCTGCCTCTGGCTCAAGAAAGCTGGGATTAAAGGCTGTCCAGCTTGTCCTCACATCTTACCACTGTATCTGAGATCACACTTATGTCCAGAGAGAGAGAGAGTGAGAGAGAGAGAGAGGGGAGCAAAAAGATGTCTCAGGCAGACAGGCTTTATATATGCATGGTGGTTTCTGTTGTACCTGGATGGTCACTGCTGGCATAGGCCAGCAGAAAGCCCCGACCAGAAATGTGAGATCCACTCTGGAATCGGACAGTCACTTCACTTGAGTTCACCCAGAGTTCTTTGGGAACAGTCCAACTCCCACAATATGGACCTGGAAACAAAGCACACACGTAGCACATTTGAAAACTTACAAAGAACAAAGAAAATTTGGTTTAGAGACAAGATATACTCTACAACACGTAAAATCTGTAATTCTTACGCGTCTGGAATTTCATTTGACAGAGATTGATCGGGAAACCTGACTAGACTGCTAAGCTTGGGGTAGGGCAGCTGACCATAGAGAAGCAAGAGGTTGCAGGCTGCTCACTATCAACAATCCAACAGAAGGGCCTCGACCTTGGAAAAAAGACTAACAAAACAGAGGTCAAATACGTTAAGGAAAAATTGATCATAGAGAAGATACTCTAGGGAACCTACTAAGTTTGCTTGAAGAAGCCTAGTCAAAGGAAGTTCCGGATGAAAATACAATGAATGCCCAATGCATGATTAAAAAACAAAAAAAAAAAAAAAAAAAAAAAAAACACCCACGGAGACTGTTGAGATGGCTGCTTGTCACCAAGTCCGTTTGGTGGAAAGAAAGGGCTAACCTTCATTAAGTTCTGTAGCATGTATGTACCCACATACACATAAATAAATATAACTACAATGTCAAAATTTTGCTCATATTCATTGCTCACATTTTCCTCTTGCATTAACTTCTGTCTTAACACAAAGTGTGTTCTGATTTGTGCCAGGGAGTCTGTACAAATGATGTCTCCCCCACCTTGAGACAGAGTCTCAGAAGCCTAGACTGGAACCTGGGACCCTCCTGTCTCCGCTTCTAAAGTACTTTCTAAAGGCAAACACTATGTTATAAATTTGTAAGGCATGGAACCCCAGAACTCCTGAGACAGATGTTATCTTTGTGAGTTGGAGGCCAACCTGGTCTATATAGAAACTTCCAAGACAGCCAGGGATACTGAATAAGAACCTGTGTCAAACAAACAAACAAATAGACAAGAGAATGAATAACCCAAAGTAGTTCTGTAAATTTACTGACTAATGGAAGTTTCTAGCTTGGTGTGGTAGCTTATGCTTGTAATACCAGGACTCTGGACTCTGAGGCAGGAAGATTGCCATGCATTCCAGGCCGTCTGGGCGACATAGTAAGATATATCTTTAAAAAAAAAAAATTAAGAAAAGAAAAAGGCTATAAACTCATTTTTAGAGAAAATTGCTTGAAAAGCAATAACAACTGTTATAAACTGTCAAAGGGCAAAATGAGACTGAGTGTAAAACAGAAACTAAAACCCTTCCTGTGACTACTTAAGTAAAATCCAATAGAACACTGTGTTCCCCGGTGTGCATGTGGAGGTCAGAGGGGATTTTGGGCTTGGGGACCAAACTCAGGTGGATGGGATCGGTGGCAAGCACCTTCCTTACTCAAGGAACTATCTTGTGGGCCCCACCAGCAAGTTTTGTTTTTGTTTGTTTTTCCCTCTCTTTTGTGAGTCTCATTGTACACTCTTGGCTGGCTTGGAACTCACTATGTAGACCTGGTTGGCCTAGAACTCAGGGATCCATCCGCCTTACATCCTGAGTGCTGGGACTGAAGGCATGCACCACCATGCCCAGCTCCACAAGCAAGTTTTGGAGGGAAATTCTTCACTAACTTCTCTTAAAACAATATAGAAGCGGCCAAAAGCAGCAGTTACAACAGTCAAGCTAAGAAGGAAGAGATGTGGGAAGAAATGATTGCTCCAATTCAGTAGCAATCAAACCAGCTCGCACTTCCCCAAACCCTCACAGGACCAAAATGATCCTATTCTGTAGATCAAGAACCCAATTAATCAATATCCTGTCCTGGTAGGAAGGATGTGACTGCTCTCATGTCCCCTCCAAGTTTCATATTCTGAAGGTCTGAGAGAACAAGCCTTACTCTCCTGCCCTACATCTCTACATTACTAAGTCACAGTGAAATCCAAGTACAACAACTTCCTGGCTCAATTCATCCATTAGATTCGTGTGTGTAGTACATGCACATGTGTAAGTGTGGACATGTGTGTGCCTGTGCATGGGTAGCGTCTTCCTCTATTGTTCTTGACTTTATTAAAGACATGTTTTAAGTGTTTGCATGCAGATATGTATGTACACTATGGGTGTGCATGCCCAGGGCCCACAGGGACTAGAAGGTGGTGTTGGATCTCCTGGAGTTAGAGATGTTTGTGAGCTGCCATGTGGTTGCTGAAAACTGAACTTGGTCCTCTGCAAGGGTGGTAATTGCTCCTAACTACCAAGCCATCTCCTAAACCCTTCTATCTTAATTTCTGAAACAGTCTCTTGCTGAACCTGGAGTGTATGGATTGGACTGGGCTGGGTGGCCAATGAGCTGAAGTGCTGGCTTTTATCTGGGAACTGGAGATCACAGCTCAGATCCTTGTGTGTATGGTAGGCACCGTGCCAACTGAGCTGTCTTCCCAGCTCCACTTCCATCATTAAAAGCCCTCATCACATATTAATACTTCCCTGACGTAGTATTTGCAGGTGTCTTAGAATAGCTCACATGCCAAGAACTATATGAGTGCTTCTTTTATAAAAAAAAAAAAAAAAAAAGCACAGTTTCTCTTGAGACTGTGCCCACAGAGCAAGACAATCTTATATCCGTCTCTTCATCTCCAGCGGACTACATTCTATCCTTCAAATATTGCTTGCATTGAAATGTTCTTCCATTTACAACAATTTGTAAAAGCCAAACCCAAATAAAAGGACATGTGGGACATTTTAAAAATGTATTCTCTCTGATATGCCACGGGAAAGAAGTGAGCTGTGCCAAAGTAAGAAAATAATTAAATACTAGAGCTGGGCCATGACTGTAATCCTGGCACTTGAGAAGAGGAGGCAGGAGGATTTGGAATTCAAAGGCAGCTTGGAGTACATGCCAGGGGGCATGTCTCAGAAACCAAGGGCTGGGGATGTATGGAACTCAGTGGCAAAATGCTTGACTAGCATGTGCAAGACAGTTGCTCAAGGTGATGGTTAATAATGATTAGCAGCTGGGTGGTGGTGGCACATGCCTTTAATCCTACCACCATGGAGGCAGAGGCAGGTGGTTCTCTTCGAGTTCCAGGCCAGTCTGGTCTACAGAGCAAATTCCAGGACAGGCTCCAAAGCTACAGAGAAACCCTGTCTCAAAAACAAAACATAACAAAACAGGTCACAAGCAAGTTGGGAAGGAAAGGTTTTATTTTAGCTCACAAGTTAGAGTCCTTTATCAGGCTGAAACTGAAGCAGAGATCATGGAAGAATGCTACTTGCTGGCTTACTCCCCATGGCTTGCTCAGTTTGCTTTCTTATATACACCCCAGTTCACCTGCCCAGAGGTAGCATCGCCCATGACAGACTGGGCACTTTCTCATTGATCACTAATGAAGGAAATGACCCATAGACCAATTGTGACTCGATAAAGTGGGTAATAAGATTCTGGGTCACAATACAGGCTGACTGAGGTTTATTTGGGGGAGAATTCACTCACATAACAAACAGAAGATGGCCATGCATTCCCGCTCCAAGGATGTCCTTAGGAGCATCCAGGTCGGTATCCAGACTCCATCACTCCCACACCTGTCTCCACGTCCCAATGGACATGGTCAGTACAGCAGGTGTGGGCGGGGTGGACATCTCACTACAACTCTACTTTTGCCATGCTGACAAAAATGAACCAGAACAGTTATGAAGTACAATGGGCATTCCTGTAGGTTAATGCCAGTCATAGACAGTGCCTGACTGCCAGGTCCTTTACATGTCTGAAATGCATTTGCCCATTGCAGAGGTTAGTATACTGGTATACAAGCCAAACAGTGAAAACAAAGTAAGCCAGCAGTTAATAAGTCAGGACCTTCTCCTCCTACCCATGTCTGCTTCCTTGCACACTTCTCTGCCTAATACCGAGTCTCTGCTAACTCTGAACAGCATCCCAAGGAGCTCTGATGGAAATGTGGGCAACACATCTAAACTGGCCGTCCAAAAGAATTCAATTTCATTTTTTAAAAGTTTACAGAAGAGTTGAAACATTGCAAAACTGTCCACTTATCCCACACATGGATAGGAATATGGGTCAACAGACAAACTTGTACAGTACATGATTCCCCCCCCCCCCCCCGAAGCCAAACACATACATCTGTAAAGCTCTAACTTGGTTAATCCTGCCAAAGTTATGATAAGCGCACAGACATTTCTGGAAAAACTTCAAAGAAAGTGAAGGTAAACACACTGTCCTTTAATGACCCTGAAGCCAGGCACCAGTCCATCTCAGTCTTGGCGTGCCGCAAGAGGGCGTGTCCTAGTGTGGGTAGGAGGACCCTTCCTCTGTATCAATGTCATGTAGAATGGCTTTCCTGATAGCCTTGGTGACCACATCGTGAGGCTTAGTTTGGGGTGGGCATTGATGGGAATTTTGTATGTTTCTCTTACTCGTTGATGAATAAGACACAGTTGGGCCAATGGGGCCATGAACACACGGCTGGGGGAGGGGTGAGAGAGTGAGACATGAAATATGAATAATGCACCAAGAGCATTAGACAGGAAAGGAAGGAGTAAGCTCAAATAGAGAAGGAGAATGAACAGCTGCGGAGAGAATCCCAGGAGCCTGAGCCAGGGGCGGGGGAAGTGAGCAGAGCCAGGTGTCAGCATGGACTCTGAGAGTGTAACAGGTACTTGTGGTGCAGAGGGAGGCTGGAGGCCAGCATGAGCTTTGATACGCTAATAGGCTCCACAGATAGCCATTTGTCCTGCCCCCAGCCAAAGGGGAAATGGCTGGGCTGGCGGTGGAGATGTGCTTGGTCTAACTGCCAGAATCTGGAGGAGACAGAGTTCCCTCTGGACCCAACAGAAGCTCGTAACTATCTTCCTAGAGTTAAGAGGGGAGAGAGGCAGCTAATGGGAACCCCAAAGCGCCCCTGGCTGTCCAAGCAAAGCTCTCAGTTTTCAGCCAGACCCCTTGGAGGATGATAACCCACTCCCTACGCTATGTGGTACTGGGGTTGAACCTAGGGCCGGGCCCGGGCTGAGCTAGTGCTCTGCTACTGGTCTCTCCTTTGTATTTTAGGACTAGAA